GTGTTCACTGTGCCTTATCTGCTACCCTTTTGCATTAGAGCTGATGCTTTGGTGTTGGTACTGACCTCTCCTTTTCAGTCTTTCCTTGGGGATTCACCTAATCATACCACATTAGAGCCTGATTCTTGCCTAGGTGAAATCCCACCTCTTCTTTTATCCCAAACTGCCAACCAGCTGGTGATATTGCTGGTTGAAAAGTTCAAAGGTACTATGAGAAATCTTAAATTATTGATGCCACTTTCCTTCCATACAAGTATAGTCATCTGCTGTTGGGGCACAGCTCAGCAAGAATCCATCCAGACTCCACAGCTGGGCAGGCTTGCAAGGATGCTGGAATAGACTCTGGGCTGGCTGGAAACAAGGCATAGGAGAGGGAATATATTACCAGACCCATAATTGTGACCTGATATCCGCAGCACTGGGAATTTCAACGGAATCAGGGCAGACAGGGTAGGTATGTTGCAAAAGTTACTGTGCAGAGTGATTAAAAAAAAGGAGTTTGAGCAATGTATACAGGTGAATGAATCTAGAAACTTAAGTTTCAAGCATGTCCCTTTAAGATGAATGAGTGTACTTTTTCCTCTATGGGTTGGAAGAAACCTCTGTGGGTAGGGAAGATGAGACTTCTCTATTGGTCTTAAAATAGCAGTGTGTGCTTTCTGCTCCTCTTTTTATCTCTAGGTTCATGCTCTGTTTCTTAACAGCACTGAGAATCTCCTTTCTCTGATGTAAGTTGCTCTAAAAAGGAAGAACAAAATTGAACTGTTCTTTTTCCTGTACTGTTTTAGATGAAGTTGGTATATAGTGAGAGGAGCTGAAAAACTGATGAGCAGGATCTTTCACCTGCTCCAGTGTGTCCAGCAGGCAGATGGTCCAGGGCAGTTAATCAGAGCAGGTCTGATGTCAAAGGAATTGTTTATATAAGCAGTGATTCATCTTCCCATTCCCAGTAATAACAGTGATGTTACCAAACAATCTGCTCTAAAACCCTGTCTCAGAAGAATTGTGAACTCTCTAACCTAGATTCAGTGTCTGGAGTCCTGTCTTGACAGTGAGTCAACCCAAAGTCCTGGGTCTAAGTTCCCTACAAATTTAGACAGTGTTCCTGACCTTCCTTTTCATCCAAGAACTGCAGCATTTTTGTGTTGTGAAAGTCTTTAGCTTTCCAGACAAGTGTCTATCTAACAACACCACATAAATCAGCCTTGCATTTAATATTTACCCCTGCATTTGGCACTGTAGAGAAGCTGTGTGAACTTTCAGCCCCTAGATGGACAGAATACTAACAACTATTCTGTACTGAGGATTTAGGGTCTAATTCAGCTGCCATTAATCTCAGTAACAAAAGTCTTGTTGCAGGATTTAGAGATCTAGGCCACTAGTATTGGGGTATTAAGTGGGGAGGGGGAGGCTGAAATAAGGTGACCAGACACCTATGTGTTACAGAGTCCTGTTTAAAGAGAGGGATAGAAGAGGATTTGATGTTAAGAGATGAACTCTGCACTCTGCAATGTATGTGTCCAGGATATTTTATATACGGACAACTCTAGACCAGAGCAAAGAAGTTTAGAGACAAAAACTAAAGACACTGCTGAGGATTCCTTAACTGTATGTAACTAGTTTCAGGGCAGCAGCTTTTAGCTTCAGTGTCAGAGCTGCACCTGGGGAAAAGGGAGATGCTCTGTTTTCCCACTGCAGAAGATTGTTCTGTCATGGAGTACCAAATGGGTAGTACACAAAAAAACCCCCAACATTTGCAATAAGACCACACCAAATGTGGTTTTTTTACAGTATCAGCCTTCCTGAACTCTGTAAATCTCAAATGTGGCTTTGCTGCCCTCCTTGGAGTGGCTGAGGTGAGGCAAACTTTAATCCACTGAGTTGTTTCTTACTATTTTGTACTGGAATGTATTTTAAAAAAAATTATTGTAATAACTTGTAAGGATGCTTGGAGAAGTTTCAGTCTGCAAGCAAGTCATAAGGTATTCCAGAGAGTGGCTGAATCCCCATCCAGCAGAGTGAGCTGCATTCTTGAGGCACTAAATGCTAAAAATTCTCATTCCTTGTCAGACTTCATTGCAGCTGCAAAGATTTAAAGCTTTTAAAGCTTGCTGAGTTGCAATCTTCATGGTGTGCTCTTCCCCCATCCCCTACCCCAGGGCAAGGAGATGCAGTAAATTTTAACAAACTTTGGCCTCTTTTGGGCTTGTAGCCTGTGGACAACAACCAGCAAGGGTTTACTTTTCAGCATGGGGAAGAAAATATTTGTACCATATGGTATAGCTAATCCTCCCAGGTCAATCCCATCTCCCAGGAATTCCCCACCAGCTCTGGAGTGTCTCTGGAGTCTCCATCACTGCTGGGTATGGCTGTCAGAGCTTGTACTCTGCACCCATGGTCACTGAGATTAGAGTTCAGAGCTGTGAGCCAGATAAATGTGTTGCCAGCATCCCATATTAGTCCAGGGTCTGGCTGAAGGCTTCCAGACTCTGTATTTCAGCCTGTAAATAAAGAAGTTAATGTTTTGTGGAGTTGTGATGATGGTAGGTATTAGTAACAACATCTTGACTGCTCAGTCCTCTGTTACCTCTTCACAGAAATGATAAGGCTGTGGTGGGTGGAAGTTGCTCTTCTGCCTGTAGAGGATCTATGGAATTGGCTGAAAAATGAAGAGAAAGAGAAAGAAGGAGGAAAGAGAGAGAGAAGTTTAACAGAGAAAAAGATGAGAGGGCAAAATCTATAACAGAATTTCCCTGATCTATGTGCTGGTTTGTTCCCTGCCCATCACTGGGTACCACAATCTCTCAGGCTGTCACAAATGCCCTAACAGGAGGCTTTTAACCTGTTTTCTTTGCAAAGAAGTTTCAGACTTTTAGGTTTCCTTGCTGTAAGATTTTTTCCTTAGTCCCATTCTCTTCTTCCATTCACCTCCAAGTTTTCCTTTGTCTGGTCCATCATATCCTTTCAGTTCTGTCCTTACTGTTCTCTGGTTTGGAGCTTTGCCTTGGAGTGTTTAGTGAGTGGGAAATCAAACCCAGGCTCTGCCATTAGCACTTCATTCAGACACAGGGCAGAACTGGAGGCTGGAGCCCATGTGGGGTTTTGGTCTGCTTGAAGCAGCAAGAAGTTGACTCATAAAAGATCCTTATAACTGGAAAGGACAGAAGTAGTATTTTCCAACAGCCTGAAAGTTCAGGACCAATCCTTTGGGCACTTTTATATCCTTTATTTCCTGCCTATGGCTAGAGGAAAGATAAACAGTGGTGATTAACACTTTGGATACTGAACATTTCCCAGGCTGTCAGCTAATGACAGTGCACTCAGGAGAAGTTGTGAGGAGATGTTATGACACAGTGGAGTAGTATTTGCTTTTGGCAGTCATTTGACACAGACCATTTGACACAGCTCATTAGGTGTGTTCCTCTCTTCTTCAGCACAAAGAAAGTTATTGGAGAAGCAAGAACTGAAATAAAACAATCATTCTTTCTTAAACTACAGTGTGGCCAAACCTTTGTCAGCTGTGGAAAATCATGGAGGTATGTTCAGTTGCCTGTATGTGACTGACCTCTGGCAAGAAGAGCCTGTATGTGACTGACCTCTGGCAAGAGTCCTAATAATAGAAGAAATCCAGGGAGATCTGTGACAAAATAAACCAGAGATTAACCTGGAACAGGACAGTACATTTGGCATTGCACAGGTAAGGTTCTGCAAGCCTTTGGCTTGATAGAAATTTGGCATTGCACAGGTAAGGTTCTGCAAACCTTTGGCTTGATAGAAACGAGGTAAATTAATGCTTAGGAGGATCTGCTCTCCCTTTGTGGCTTATTTGACAGTAAAATGCACAATCTTTCCTTTCATAGGTGAATTGAGATAACCCCTCACACACTCCTGAATGCTGGAAAATGCCTCCTGCCCAAGCCAAGACTCGGCACAGAAAGGTTAGAAAAGAGAAAGTGTTGAATTGTGAGACAAAAAGTTCCCCAGGAGACTCCAAGATCCACTGTGGGAAGCAGTGGGAAGGTAAGAGTGGAGGGAAGCTGAAGGGCAAAGAGTCATTGCCTGGCCAAGGTGACACCCCTGAAGAAGAGTCCTTAAAAATCCAGAGGCTGAGGGAGCCTCAAGGAAGCAAAGAAAATGGTAACAAAAGGTTATTCCATGGCAGAAGAGCCTACAAGAGAAATGAGAAAAGTGAATCTGGTCTGGGGAGAAAACACAGAGAACAGTTAATGTCCAGGTTGGAGGGGAAAAAAGGAAAGGTCTGCAAGCAACGGGAAACGGCATCAGGACAGGAAAGTGAGGACAGCAGCAACAAGGAGGATAAATCCACCACAACCAGCAAGAAACACAGTTTGAAAAAGAAGTGTGGAACAGGTGTTGGTGTTAGTGGAAAAGTCACCAAGTCACAGTCCACGAAGGCAATTTCAGAGCAAAGTGCTGGAGGCTCTTTTCAGAAACACAACTCATCAGAGAAGGTACAGAACCCCAGGGGAAAGCACAGAGGGAATCATGGCTTTAGGGAAGCTTCTGAGCAGAAATCAGGTTCACAATCCCAAGGCAGTATGGTACAGGGAAAAGGTGAGAGGACTGGGAAAAAGCAAGTAGGAAGACATGGCAGGATTGTTGTCACTGAAAGGGCAGAAGAAAATAGCCTGGAAAGCTCAGGTGGCTCCTGCTCTGACTCCAGCAGCGCAGTCCATGCTAAGAGTACAAAAGAGACTGTAGTGGGCAGCACTTCCAGCAGTGAGGACAACAGCAGTTGTTCAGAAGAGAAGAGCAGTTCTTCAGGAGAGAAAAACAGTTCATCAGAGGAAGATGGCAACAGTGAGGAAGAAGCTGTGCTTGAAGATCCTCCTGTGGCTGAAGGAAAAGGCTGCAAGGAGCTGGTTGATGAAAGCAATGGAGCATCTATAGAACCTGAAAGGGAGCAGGTGACTACAGATGGAAGAAATGAATCTGAGGATGAAGGCACTGAATTTGCAGGACTGGAAGCAGAAGCGAAGATGGAGAAGCAAGACAACACATTGGCACATCCAAAGTCTGTTACTGCTGAGAGCTGTGAGCCAGATGATGAGGTAAAGATTTCAGGATTACAAGTTAAGAGACTTAAGAACAGAGAAAATAATGACGTAGACAATGAAAATACACTAGAAAATGACAGAGTTCAAGAGTTATCAGAAGATGCACATGCTAAATCTGACAGCAATGAGGAGAAAGGCACTGAAGAGAACAGTGATGAAGGAAAAGAAAATGCAACAAACCCACCAGTGCCTACTGCTGTGAAAGCAAAACTCCACCCTGAGCTTGGCAAAGTACCTCATGGATCTGAGCAGGAAGATGAGGTGAATGATGAAGACAGTGCACTGGAAGAGAGCCCTTTGCTCTCCAAACAGCAGAGGACATTGAAGGAGAAGCCTGGGAGGTGTGAGATCACAGAACAAGTTGAAGAAGTGGGACAAAGACAGAGGGACAGTTCATCAGAGTGCAGCAAGCAGGAGCTAGCAGCAATGATGCTTGCAAAGAAACATTCTTCTCAATCCCAAACCCCTCTCAGTCTGAAAAACAAACACAAAAACGCTGAGACCAAACTATTAACAAGCTGTAAACCAAATCCTGTCCAGATGGCCCTGGGAACCAACTCTGACCTGAAAAATGTTGAAAGCATCTGTGCAAAACCCACAATTCTAGAAAGCCTCAGTACACAAAAAGAACCCAACGTAGCTCAAGGGGTTGGAGAGAAAACACTAAATACTTCCAGCAGCTCCACCTTTACAAAAAAATCATCTGATAAACCACTCCTCAGAAAGAAGAAGAAAGTTGGGAAAGTTATTGGAAAAGCTAAACAGAGTTCAGGCCAGACTTCAGAGGGAAAAAAAGAGAAAGCTGAAGGAGTGGTTGCAGAGGCATCTTCTGAAACAGGACATGTGCATCAGGGGAAAGGATCCAAGTGCTTACACACCCATTCTAGTTTCAGAAAAGTCACCAAACCTTCCAGGACAGCGAGGCTGAAAGCTCGTCTGCTGAGCGTGGCCCGTGCCATTGGCATTTCGAGGTGGCTCCTGAAGAAATTTGGGAAGAGGAAGAAGAGCAGTAAACCTTTTAGATTCAGAAGTAGAATGGCAATTCGGATTCTAAGCACTGCTGGTTGGATTGGTCAATCTGGCAAAGCCTTCTCTGGTGCAACTGAAGAGTTGGGAAGGACTGAGCCAAGTGACAAAGAATCTTCATTAGTGGAGAGGAAGGGTGGGCCTAAAACAGCAGAGGAAGTTGGACACATGGACTTGCCTTCTGGTGATTCCCCTCTTCATGGGGAATCCAAGCATTCCTTTCCATGCTCGGGTGAGAAGAACAGTGCCAAGTTTGCTGTAGTATTCCCCAGAGTCCACACCTTGGTCAAGGCTAAGAACTCCTTGTTCAGGGGCTTTGGGAATGGTCATTCCCAGCAGAAACAGAGATGTCTGTCAGACAGAAAATCTGTCACACCTGTGCAACAGAGTTTCAGATTCAAATGTGATCTTCCCAGATCTCTGATGGATCAAAGCCAGAGAAACAGTGAACAACGTGTCCTTCTGCAGCGAGAAGAGGATCCAGTATGCACATCAGATTATTCCAGTGAGGTAGATGTCAAAGAGGGTTCAGTTGTCCTTCAGACTTCAGGAGTCACACCTTGTGTTCACTGGTCTCAGCAGCAGGCTCAGGGCTGTGATCCTGCAGCATGGCTGAACTCTGAGCTGCTGCTGCCACGACTCACCATCGAGAACCTGAGCAAATGGGCCATCTACAAGGACCCACAGCTGTCCAGCAGCCGTGTGAAGAAGGTCTGCAGGGATCAGTGGGTGGCAGAAGATGTCCCTGACAATATGCTAGAGATGGAGTTTATGCAGAAACAGGTACAGCTGTTGTCTCCAGCACTGGAATGAAACTGAGCTCCTGATTTTCAGTAATGTATCTCTGCATTTCAGGTGTATCTGTGTGAAGACAGATCTGTGGAAGTTGAGGAGATTGAAGATCTAACCAGACTGGAGTATGTGTCCTCTGTGGTATTCTGCAGCTCATTCAAGGTCATGGGGGTTTGCTTGTTACCCTGCAAAGCTGTTGTTACCCTCACATCTGTCCTCTACTCCTGCCATCCTGTCGAAATAAACAACTGCAAAGGAAGTGTGCAAGGAGGTGTGACCACACAGAGAAGGACAGGCTGGGTGTTCTGGGCTTTGGCAGCTCTGTTCTCTGATGTCTTTAATCCTGGAACCACATGAAGGCAGTGAATAGTTTCAGATCCCAGGCTCCTACAAAATCCTTGGGAGGGCAGAAAGCTTAATAGTAACACATGCAAGTCAAGTTTGTGGCTGACAAATCCTTTCCTCTGTTTGTAGGGAAGTTTGTGAGAGCTCAGTCCTGCTGTGCCTGAAGAAGAGGTTCCATCGCAATCTCATTTATGTATGGGCATTGGGGTTTGGTTTGGTTTGGTTTCCTTCAGTGTTTATTCATTCTGAACAATGAGCTTTAAGGGAAAAATGATTTCTATTATTCCATCAAGCTTTAATAACACACCAAGTAGCACAAGAGCTCACTCATTACTGGGAACAGCAATTCAAAGGGTCCTTACACAGCTTTTGCTCAGGAAATACATAGCATGAAATATTTGGGGTAAAATCTGTGAGTTCCAAAGATTTCTCTGTAGTTCTGGTATTTGTTGCCAACCTGTGAGACACTTGGGCTCTGCTTTAGCCTTAGCTGCTCCTGGTGGGACTCTCCTATATTAGCAAAGCAGTTCTGAGTAAAAAATTGTGGGTCTTGAGAAGAAACCTCAGAGTTTCTGCAAACAATTCACAGTGTTGCAGTCCAGAGCTAGTTCTGGATGGCTAATTGTTCTCATTTTCATTTATTGGCTCGTTAGTTCAAACCTGTGCCTCAAATGTCATGTGAAGCTTGGAGAACAGACAAGAGAAGATGATCACAGACCAGTGAGTGACCAGTTACCTCCAAATATTTATGACAGAGCTTTGAAAGTGACCACCGAAACACTGTGCCCTGAATAGACTGTCAGGAGAGTCAGAATATTCAGTATTCCTTTAAAAGGCATCTAAATATTTGAATTGATATATACATCCTGTTGCATTCCTCATTCAGAAAATTCTAAGAAGCCACCAGATTTTTTTGTTTTTACCTTTCTTATTTTTGTCCTAGACTTACATTGGGCAAATTTTGGTTTCTGTGAATCCTTTCAAAGACCTCAGTATCTACTCTGAAGATGTGGCTACGCAGTACCATCAAGGGACTCTCTCAAAAAATGCTCCGTATGTTTCTCTTTGTCAAATAACTCTCTCAACTCTGTTCTATTTGTGCCTCAGAAAGTATTTTATTTTCCTCCAGCTGTCTGATTGAGGACTATGAACATCACAGTAAGTGAACAACCCATTTGGCAAAGTTGTAGTTGCTCAGACCTGTAATTTTTTCAAGCTAAAGTTCATCCCTGGAAGTGTTCCAGGCCAGGTTGGATGGAGCTTGCAGCAACCTGGTCTAGTGGAAGATGTCCCTGCCCCCGTGGCAGGGGGTGGAATGAGATTAGCTTTAAGGTCCCTCCCAACCCAAATTCTATGATCCTTAGGTCAAGTTTCTTCAGTACTGGTTGAAGATCCTGAATTCAGACCTTGGTGGGACTGTACCTATGTGTTCTGGCAGGATGTGCTCCCACTGCTATCACTGGTCCAGCCTTGCCAGACCTACCAAGGTAGGCAGAACACAGTGGTAACAGTGTTATTACCCTGGTGCCAGCAGAGAACAAAGTTTCTGATTTTCCTGGCTCATCACATTTCTCAGGTCAAGATACTGAATCATAGATTCACAGAATTTAGGGGTTGGAATGGACCTTACAGATCATCTAGTCCCAGCCCCCTGCCCTGGGCAGAGACACCTCCTCACTAGACCAGGTTGCTCAAGGCTTTGTCCACCCTGGTTTTGAACACTGCCAGGGTTGGGGCAGCCACAGCCTCCCTGGGCAACCTGGGACAGTGTCTCACCACCCTCACAGGAAAAAACTTTTTTTCCCACATCCAACCTAGACTTTCCCTCCTTCAGTTTGAACTCATAATCTGACACATCTCTGATGCAGATCACTGATGAGTAACCTTTTGGTGCTGTATTTGTGAGGCAGAAATGTGAGATCAGTTAACAGGGTATTTTTTTCCTGTCCATCTAGACACATCTTTGCCATAGCAGAAATGGCCTACACGCTGTCCCAGTCATCAGGGCAGGAGCAGTGTGTCGTCATCAGGTAGGAGATGAGGGACTTTCTTGAAGGTCTGTTAATTTCTTTATGGAAAATTTCCATCTTTGCATTTCACTGTTGCTAAGTGGATCATTCCGGCTCTTGTGTGAGAACCTGAATAAATTGGATTTTTATTTTACTCTGCAGAAATACTGTTTGAATTCAGTTTCACATCAGTTCAGAGGAGTGCAAGAGAAGGTGTTTGGCATTCCTTAATGGAATCTTACTCTTTATCGAGCTGTATTTCAAGCAGTAGGTGATCTTCAGTTGCTGTAAATCAGTACAACCTCACTGATTTGCTGTAACAAAGCCTCTGATGTGTCTAGATTAGGCAATTCTGTGTTGATGCCAGATCCTTACCTCTTGTTCCTCCAGTGGACACAGTGGATCAGGTAAAACAGAAGCTGCCAAAGCAATTGTGCAATACCTGACCATGCTGTACCAGAGATCTGACAGCCACAGGATCAGACAGGTAAGAGGCAACAGGGACTGGCTGTATGCCACGATGGTTGGGCAAGGAGCAGGAGCTGCTGATGTGTTCCTTGGTTTCTGTTTATCTGAGCTGGACTTTGGATGGCTTGTGGTCCAAGGTGAAGCTCCCATAAGGACATGAGGACAGCTGATGTGTTTGTTGTTGTGTAGTTTAGTATGTGGAAGGCCTGATGCTGCATAGAGAGCTGTGTCTGTCTTACCTACTTGCCATAGAGAGCTTACAGCAGAGTTTGGGAGGTGAATCTGAACAAACACAGAACAGAATTGAAAGATCATAGCAGTGAAGGTAAAGAGCTCACAGAGCAACTCATCACTGGCTAGATATAATTACACCAATATACATTTTTAAAGAGTTGTTTTTTTTTTTAGCCAGGCAAGATTTATACCAGTGAAGTCTCATTTTCCTTGGATTTTCAAACTAACAGTTGCTTGAGTCCCTTTGGGGGTTTATAACCTCATGATTGCTACCCAAGTGTTCTCTCCCTCTTTTCTTCAAGCCCTGCAATGTCCTACCCATCCTGGAGAGTTTTGGAAATGCAAGAACCATCCTCAATGACAACTCAAGCCGTTTTGGAAAGCTTCTGAACATCCACCTGCGACAGTGAGTTGAAGGAACACCTTGGGGTGCTGTTCTTCCAGCTGCCAAGGGCTTCTTGGGTGAGGAAAGGTCTAGCAGTGCTTAGAGCTCATGCAATAGCCTTCCATCCCCTCCACTTTGGTTATCAGCAGGATAGGAAGAGGGTGAGATTACACCTCTATTTCGCTTAGGTTCCCTCCACAAAAGAATAGATTTTACTTCTCAAGGTGAGTGATGAACTAAGAACATAAGAATTGCTGAACTGATTTATACCAAGAAAACATCTAATACAGTGGTGTGTCCCCAACACTGGCCACAAGCAATCACTGAGGCAAGAACAGGCCAAATAGATGCAATGGTTTTCTCTAACACTCTGTGAGCTCTTAACCATTTGCAGCAGCTCAGGAGTTTTCCTGAGTCTCCTGTGGTTTTCCAGTTTCCTCTTGGACTCATACACACTTCATGCCTCTGCAACAGCCTTCCACAAGAGTTCTACAGGTCTAACCAGTTCTGTGAAAAACACCTTTTTGTTTTGAACCTGCCTCCTTTCTAACCTCTGGGTTTGGTTTGTTTGTTTGGGGTTTTTCTCTGACTGTTGCCAAGCACTGAGCTGATTCTTTCATGTCTATCATAACCCCCAGGTGAGCCTAAGCAGCAATGGTTCATTTGGAGCCTGTCAGTTTATATGTGAAGCTGGGCCTGTATCCATCCCTTTGCATTTATTGACAGTGGATTTCATGTGCCATTTTCTTGCTCACTCTGCACTGTAAGGTCTGTCTGCATTTATTGACAATTCATCCTCACTGCCTTGAATGGTTTCAAACAAGCAGGAAGCTTTGTCACTTTGCTGCTCAGCATCACTTACCAAACCTTCACTTACAGGTCAGGTACAGACACACTGTGGAACTCTAGTGGTTGACTCTCACTGTTAAGAGGATTCACCTTCATTCCTACCCATGTCAGGACCTTCCCTCTTGTGCCATGGTTGTTTGGTTTCCCTGAAAGTCCCACAACTTTGCCAAAATATTTTGGAAATTCTTGTGGACTATATCCCTTAGATCCTTCCTTTCTGTGGAGACATGGGACTGCAGAAAGCCTGTCCCTACCTTCTGACAGGATCTCCTGTTGTCTTATCTCAGTGGTGCTGTGGTGGGAACATCCATCTCCCAGTACCTGCTGGAGAAGTCTCGTGTGGTGTTTCAGGTGAGGACCAGTGTCTTCCTCTCTCCCTTATTCATATTTAACCTTAAATACACTGTTACATAACAGGAGTGGGAATTACTATGAAAATTACCTCTCATTTCTTCTGTTAACAAGAACTATGTCCACTGTGTAGCACAGGGTGATCACTTATTGTATCTGAATAAAACAGGAGGTCACTCTGCCTCAAACAAGTTGAATTAAGCCACTTGTTAGGGATTACTGGAAGTTAAATCTTTCCTCAACTAATTTTTCTCAAAGTCTGAAGTGTGGAAAAGGTCAAACACTGGAGCTGTGTGGAAGGAACTGCTCTCAGATAGAATGCTCTTAAGGTGTCAGTGAGAAACCCTGGAACATTTCCAAATTAAATGGTTTTGGTCTTGTCTGGCTGACTTCAGAGTTTATGTCCTACTCTTTGAGTGTTCCGTAGGGTTCTGGAGCTGGATATGAGTCAGGTCTATGAATGTGTTCTCTGTCAGGCCCACGGTGAGAGGAACTACCATGTGTTTTATGAGCTGCTGGCTGGGCTTCCTGTGGAGCAGAAAGAGGAGATGTACTTGCAAGAGGCAGAGTCCTACTTTTACCTGAATCAGGTGAGTGAGATGAGGATGTTCAGCAGCAGCTGATAGAGTGAAATGGCCAAGACATCACTTCTGTTTGGCTAGTGAGCCTCTTTGCTTCCCTACTTCCCCTTCACAGAACGATGCTGAAGTCTGCTCTGCTTCTTCTCACATCTGACCTAAATACATTTATCTCTCATGTGATCTTTTTGTCACCTTTCAGTCCCCTTCTGCTCCCAAAAAAAGCCTTTTAAAGGAGTCCTTGTGTAGGTCCATGGCTCCATCGTGTGGTGAAGAAATCCTGTTCTCCTTGCCTTTCCTTGTATTTGCAATTGCTTCATCGACTGAGTCAGAGTCAAATTTTAAACCACTGAAGGTGTTATATACTGCTGATTGCAATTATTTAAATTGGAAAATTGTTTGCCAGACTTATGGCGAGCCATAATCTTGGAACACCTCTTTTTTTTGTGTGTGTTGGGGTTTTTGTTTCTTTGTTTTTGTTTAAGATTGCTTTCCATACTCAAGGAGGTCACAACAACAGCAAGAGATCTTTCCTATTTCAGCCCTGTGAGTCAGCTTTCCCAGGTGGCCAAACTCATCCCAGCTGCTTGGCTATGTGAGGAATCCTCGATGGTGATTGCTATCACCTTGCCTTGGGGCAAGGAATGGACAAGTACCATTAATGACTCAAGGATGGAAGGCAATTAAGGGCCCATCCCTTAATGAGTGATGTTCCTGGTCGGCAGAGCATTGTAAACTAAACTCTTCAAGGTGATAGTTAACAGGAATGTCTCAGAAAAAGAAAGGGGAATAGATCAAATCATGCATAAAGAAGTTAGCAGATGCTGACAAAATCTATCTTGGATCTTTGTCTTGGGAAGATGAAGCCCAAGGGCTGGTCCGACCTCATCCTTGTCTCATTGGAATCTGAGCAGCTGGATAGATGGTCAAAGAATGCCCTTGTACACCAACAGGTTCTGCAGCCCCCTCTGGCCCAGGATTTCTGTGGACTTCAGGGTCACAGGCAGTTGTTAGGAGTGTCCCCCTGTAGAGAAAAGCACAAGAAGCAGAAGTGATAAACCCATGTTACAGTGAAGCTCTGGCAGAGGTGAGACAGATTAATACCCAGGGTGGATCTCTGGGTGCACAGAACCCAGAGAGTCTTGACACATTGGGTTCTGGTACCATTTGGGGTAGTGACTCTGCCATGACTTACTTTGGAGTCGATTCTGGCATCCCTTCTCCCTCCAGCTGCACTCCAGCAATGGGCAAGGGGCAGCTGGGCTGCTTGTACTGGAACCACAACAGAAACTTGGCATGTGTGGGCAAGAGAGATCTTACTCTTAAACCTCCAGAGAGAAAAAGAGACTGGTCTGTCACGAATGCTGAGCTCCCACTAGTGGTGCCTTTTCCAGTCCTTAAAACCTTGAACTACTCAGAATATTGCTGTTGGTAGCTCAGCTCCAGCCTGGGCGAAAGGGACTGATCATGGTTATCTGTCCCTGCTCTTTCAGGGCAGAGCATGTGATGTCCTGGGAAAGGAGGATGGTCAGGACTTTCTGGTCTTGGTGCAAGCTCTGGAAGGAATCAGCCTCTCAGATGATCAGCTGAGCTCCACCTGGGCTGTCCTGGCTGCCATTCTGCAACTGGGGAACATCTGCTTTACCTCCTATGAGGTACAGTAACCCTTGGCAGCTTGGGAATGGGCTATTTGTGCTGAATATTCCTGTTATCCAGTGTGATGGGGCCAGGGGCATTATTCCTGATTGAAGATGACATCCTTTGAAGACTATTCTGTTCTTTCTAGACTGACTTAGACAGGGACAGGAATGAGAGGCAACCAAAGGTCATTAGAGCTTGGGCTGCTCTTTGAGGAGCCAAAATGGACCTAGATGCTGGTGTTTTGCCTAGGTTGTGACCAGCTCTGTGCAGCTGAGGTGCTGGTGAGAATATTAATACTAGTGGGACCTCATATCCCATCCACAGTTGCATCTGTTGTTCTCTGTTGTTCAGAATGAATCCTATGAACACGCAGCCATTGCCAGCGACACCGAGATTCAGATTGTGGCCAATTTGTTGTGTGTCTCAGCAGATTTCCTGCAAAGTGCTGTCACTCATCGTGTCACTGTGAGTACCTGATTAATGTTTAATCTTTGATTTCTCATTCATCCTGAAGTGTGGGATGTCCTAGCCCATTGCTCTGTCAGCAGAAGGACCACAGCCTTAGGAGGTCCAAGATCTGGGAGGTAAGAGCAGGAGTAAAATTGTTGAGATGGGCAGAACGCCTCAGTGCAGCTCTGTAAAGATGGTAGAACTCATATCTTGGAGGGCTCTTGTATGACATGAAGTGGGTTCAGGATTTATGCTCTGGCCAGCTGAACTCCCACACAGAACTGTGGCAGCAAAATTCTGCTTTTCCTTTTTTTTTCTTTGATACCTGGGTAAATTCTCAAGCCAAATAGAAAAACACATCCATTTATTAACTGGGTTGAGTTCTTTGTGTATTAAAAGAGTATTTGTGAGAGAATAGCAGTAAATTCTGTCTCTTTATGTACCTAGGTAACATCATATGATCGAATCTTCACCCCTCTGTCTGTAGAAGGAGCCATCAATGCCAGGTGACTTCTGCTGCTGTTGCCTGGGTTGGTGAGATGCACTCAAGGGTCTTTGCAGTAACTGGTTTTGCTCCCTTCTCCCACTCAGGGATTCCATTGCCAAGACTCTCTACTCCCTGCTCTTTGAGTGGCTGCTGCTGAGGATCAATGAGTGGTTGGCTCCCTGGGAATCTGACTGTGCTGTGGGCATTGTGGACATACATGGTTTTGAGGTTGTTTTTCCCACTCTATTGCTATTGTCTGGGCTGCAAGAGCATGTGCTCATTGAGGCCTGTGAGTTGCATACTTGTGATTCCTGATAAAATGTGTGTGTTCCAATGAATGCTGAAAACCATGGGATATATAGGTGGGGCTGTGCATCCAAAAGTAAATCTTCTTCATGCTTCTTCACAGCTTGTTCAGCCTAGTCAATAAGCCAGGTCTAGAGCTTGCAAACCAGACAGAAGATGATTTGAGTTCCTCAGGTTCATTCACACTGATCAGAACCAGCAGCTCAGCTCAGCACCAGCTGGGGCTGGTGGGTGTTGGAAGGGATGATCCTTTTTGTCTTTGCAGGATCTAGAGGTGAACAGCTTAGAGCAGCTCTGCATCAACTTTGCCAATGAGCATCTCCAGCAATTTTTCAGCCAGAGTGTCATTGCCCAGGAAGAGGTAAATGGACTCAGTGGAACTCACACCAGCATGTTAAGGCAGCACATACGGAACGAGCTGAGGCATCCTCAGCTGGAGAGTATCCTTTAGCAGGGAGCCGGAAGTTGAATAGACTTGATCCTCTTAAGCAGTATCCATGGAATCCTAGTCCAAAGAGCTGCTTACTTAACACGTTTGGCTAACTCTGTAGTAAATTAAGGAATCAGGAGTTTACTAGTGCCTTGCTCCCTTTTACAGGTTGTCTAAGTGAGTTGGTCAGGATCAAGGAGCTCAGACGTCACCTCAGCTGGTACTTCTAAAGCCTGTTTGGCAGATTCTCCGTAGCATTTTTGGTGGATTCTTTGTAGCATTTTATGTAGCATTTCTGTCCTGGCAGCTAAAGTGCATTTATCAGACTTGTTGCCTTTTACAGTTTGCTTTATCAGCTTAGCAGCATTCCTCTCTTAAATCAGGAAAATCATTAGAGGCTTTAGAAGAAGTTTCATAAGACGAAATCAGATAATTTTAGGCAAGTTCCTAACAGCAGCGAAACACTAACTTCCTGATAAACAAACCAAATGCCTCTGTTAACTTCCTCCTTTTGCTCTTGTTTGCATGGCTGGATTTGGTCTTTATCATGCAGGAGGAATATAGCCAAGAGCAGTTAGCTTGGATTCCTATTTCCAAGATGTACAGTGAGTCATGCCTAGATTTCCTTACTGCAAAACCCCATGGCATCTTGTGCATCCTGGATGACCAGACATCACTGACTCAGGTGAGAAGCTCTTAGCCTCTCCTGTGATCCCTTTCACAGGCTGGCTGGGGTGAGGCAGTTATCCAGACTGAGCAGGAATTGTGTTTGCACAGGTGGTTTTACCTTTGGCTTAACAGTGACTTTTCAGCCTACTGAATATGTGGCAGCAGCAGGAAATGTGTTTGTCATCTCCTTTGCAGGCCACAGACCACACCTTTCTCCAGAAGTGTCACTACCATCATGGAAATAGCCCTTGGTACACCAAGCCCAAGTTTCCTCTGCCAGTGTTCACTGTGAAGCACTATGCAGGTCCTGTCACCTACCAGGTGAGCTGACAGGGGCTTGGAGCTGCTGGAGCAACAGCCCAGCTTGGAGGCAAAACAGATATTGGCTACACAAGAGCCTACACTGCTTGTCTCAGAGCCCTGGAAATCCAGGAGAGCTGTTGCTGCTGAAAAACAGTGAGGGGTCAAAGCATGCTGGGCAAGGTGAAGGGAAAAAGTAGCAATCCCTCCTAAAAGCAGAAGTCATTGTCCTTTCCACTCCTAGTGGCAGCAGGAAGAGCCAGCATCATTTCCTAGGGCTTTCTCTTTGTTCCTCTGCTCCAGGTGCCTGTCCCCAGTCAAGGTGCGTGTAAGAGGGATGTTTGTCTGTGTGGTTGGTGGTCTGAATGGTGCATTGAATCAGACTTTGCCTCTACAGGTCCACAAGTTTCTTTACAAAAACCGTGACCAGCTGCGTCCAGAGGTGCTGGACATCTTCTCTCAGAGCCGCCTCAAGGTACTGCAGTGGTTCAGGAGGAAGAGGTCTATTGCAGGCACCTAATGAGCCACTCATTTCTTTCATATGGGAAGCAGAAAGATCCTGATCAGGAGTTTGATTTTACTGAAGGACCCTTGGGAATTGAGCAAGTTGTCTTTGCTCACAATTGATATGTAAAATGCACAGACTGTCTGAGGATGCAGCTGGGTTTCTGGCACTTGGAGGGGCAATGGTCACCTACTTTCAGGTAGAAGAGATTGTTCTTTCCAGGTAGTTCAGGGAGTTTTGGTTATTTCTTTGTTTTTTTCAGGTGGTATCTCACATTTTCCAGAAGGCTAAAGCTGCCTATAGTCAGCAAAGGAAGCTGGGGGCCAGGGGAAAAGGGCTCAAGCCTCAGGCTTCCACACTGGTGTCCAAATTCCAGCAGTCTCTGCAGGACCTCACAGCCAAGCTGAGAAGGTGAGAGATGTGGTTGCACCCAGAAGTGTGTGAAGTCTTCCAGGATCAGCACAGAGAGGAGGGTGCTCAGATGTTCTTCCCTCTGTTTTCCAGGAGCCATGCCTTCTTCATTCGGTGCATCACCCCTAATCCCAAAAAGGTAGGGCAGCACCCTGAGCTCCTTATGGAGTTCCTCAGGTCCTTGAAGTCCATTCTTCAACAGCTCTCCAGTCACAGTTGGGGTTTGAAATTCTTTGCTTCATTTGATAGCTTGAAGCTTTTATTCCTCTCTCTGTCTCTCACCCTTCCTGTGGCCATGTGAGCTAACCCTCTGCTGGAGGATCAGGGACCAGTGTCAGCTGAACACCAATGTATGTGTTGGATTTTATGTTCCATCACTCACAGACCATGACAAGCTCTAACCCCAGGACAGGACAATAGGAGACCCTTTCTAAACTCCCTGCCTTCTGCCCCCTTTTATCTTTATTTCTTTCCTGTTTTACATTTTCCTTCTGCCCTTTCTCCACAGCTGTCAAATATCTTTGATGTGGAGTATGTCACTTGTCAGCTGCGACACTCTGGGATACTGGAGGCTATCCACATCAGAAAAGAAGGATACCCAGTCCGTCTTCCATTCCAGGACTTCCTGGCCAGGTACAGTGGTGTATTGGCTTGGGATTCCTCAGCCACTCAGCCCTGGAGGAACTCAGCACGCTGTGATCTGCTCTCTGAGGGTTCTAGCTGCAGCTCTGGCTCCTCTCATCCCACCCCTCATGTCCCAGGTACAGGCTCCTGGCTGGGCAGAGGCACAGCTGCTCGGAGGAGAGAGAAGGTTGTGCAGCAGTGCTGGCTCATGTGGTGGGGAACCCCTCGGATCTCTATCAGATTGGAGTAACAAAGGTGATGCCTATAGAGAATTCCATCCGAATTGCACAGGCCCAGACACAGATTCAGTGGCTGGTGAAGCTTGGAGAGCAGCTTGGCTCTCTGCCCAGAAAGGGAGAACCTTGCATGCCTTTTCCCTCTCATGCTTTGCTTCTTGTCTCAAGTATTAAGGAGGCATTTGTAGCATTCCAGATAAACAGGAGACTCGGACTCCAGACTGTTGTAGTAGTGTAGCCAAGTCCTTTGTATATCCATCATTCCTTGATGGAAATCTGAGCTTCTACCTTTGCCACCTACTAACCTTCATCATGCCCTGATTCCTTGTCCTCCACAATTACATCCATCTCCATCACCTGCACCTGTGCCTCCTGCCCTCCCCAGTTGCCTTAGCAGGAACCCTTAAAACCTCCAAAGAGATAAACCAGCAGTTTTTATTATTGATCAGCTCTTAGAGAAGCTGATGCTTCCCTCGTGGCTCAGCAGCTGCTGCCTTTGCCCAGGTCTTTCTGAAGGAGAAGGCCAGGCAACTGCTGGAGAGACGATGGATCCAGAGGCAGAGCTGGGCTATCGTTACTCTGCAAAGGAAATTCCGATGCCTCCTCCAGCGCAGACGTCTCCGTGTCCTCCAGGAGAAAGTCACACTCATTCAGGCTCACTTCCGAGGTTACCAGGCAAGGTCAGGAGCCAAAAGCCAGGCAAGGGACAGCTCTTTGGCCTTGCCTGGGACAAGCCAGGTGGGGATGTGCCTGGCCAAGCCCCTCCTCGTGTTGGCTCCTTGCCTGCTCTGTGTGTGTGTGTGTTGCTGATGTTTCCCTCATTAGGCAATGCTTCTTCATTCTCACCCTCTAGGAAGCGATACAGGAGGCTGAAGAAGACTTTGGTGCAATTTAATACCATGATTTTAATCTCCAGACCTTTGATTCAAAGGAGGAAGCGCTGCCAGGTATCAACAGTCTTCTCGGAACAAGTTGTAAGGGAGGAGCTGTTTCTGCACCAAGCAGAGTGAGCTGGGTGAGGTCAGGGCAGGGATGGCTTTGAAAATTTGTTGGAAATGATTCAGTGAGGTGTCCTTCACTCCCTGGCTGACATAAATGTAGTTAAATCAAGGAATCATGGAGACTGGAGCCTTTTCTTCCTAGGCAACATTCAGAACTAGCAAAAGTGGTACCAACACAGGTGATTCACGTGTCTGGCTGGGTGAGCTTCTCTAGGCTACCCCACACAAGACAAAATCTGATTCTGTCTGTGACCTCCAGAGCTGCTGTTCTGCTCAAGCTTTGAGAAGCCATTCACCTTGCTCTTTTGGTTGCCCAGTTCAATTTCTGTTATTTTCTCAGGTAGCGACTGAAATGCAAGTCTTTTTTCAGTCCACAGTGATACTCCCTTGACTCCTTAGAGTTACCTCAGGTTGCTCAATTCCTTTGCCTTTTGGAAATGAGCTGGACCCATTGCTTGGGTGAGGCTAGGGTGGCAGTTTTCTGAGAAGATGGAAAATTGTGTGCAAGAGAGAGCCATGGTTCTGTCAAGTGGGTTGAATGTATTTTGCACAAGCTATTAAAATTGAAAACCTGAAATCAGACCACTCATCCTTAGAGTAGCAACTAACATCCCCATAGCTGTGAGATTCACGAGGAAGGGACCTGGCACAGCTAGCAAAGGATGGGGCAGAGGGTTAAATTCAGTGTTGTTGTTGTAAGCCTGCAGAGGTTCCTTCTGCCATGCCATGCCCAAAGCAGTGTGTGTTTCTATTCCATCTCCTGCTCCTCCTACTTGGACAGCATCCAGCTTTTCTTTCTCTCAGGTAACCACAACAGCACCGCTCTTTTTGAACCCATTTCTCTTCCTCCAGTGTTTGCTTGTTGAGGTCTCTGTACATACAGTAGCAACAGCAAATGTCTCAAAGTTCACCTGCTGCATAGTTCCTCCTTTCCCCCCACCCCACAGCCCTGCCCTTTGGACTTTAGCATGCCACTGTCTTCTTAGCCCAACCCTCACAACCTCCCATCTTGTCACGCTGATCTGCAACACTGACAAACAGGAGACAGAGACAGACTCCTTTTCCATCCTTGAGTAGGAGTCAGGTGAGTCTAGGGGACAACAGAATGGATGGGAAAGGGAAGAGCTGTAAGGGAGTTTGGCTTTTGGTCCTTCCCAAGGATGTCCTCTCCATGGATAAGTTCCTCCATCCATGTTCAGGCTGTGTTACCATGGTTTTTGATGCTGGAGGAGGCAGGTGAATGTTTCTGACAGCCCCTGTGTGCTTCTATCCTGAGACACATCGAATGCTGTGCAAGGGAGGGAAGGTGTACCAGGATGCTGAGCTGAAGAGCTGAAGGCTCTTGCTGTTGAGCTGTGTTGTGCAGAGCAGGTGGTGCTCCAGCAGAGCTCAGAGCCCAGTACACTCAGTGGGGTCTCAAGAAGGCTCTGCAGCTGTTCTGTCATTGTATCTGCTGGATCAGGACACCAGCTCCTGCTCACCTGCAGTGGCTGCCCCCAGAAGTAACTGGAAGTGACTTCAACTTTTCCTGCTCCCCAACCCCTTTTCATCTAACAGCAGGAGTTAGAGGAAAGGAGACAAAGACAGAGATCCCTGGCTGGTGGTGACACGGAGCACAGTCCCAACCAAGGAATGGTAAGTTGTCAAACAGTCTGGGAGAGCCTGAGATGAACCAAGCCAGGCTCTCCTGGTGTTCTCCCTCCCTTCTGCCTTCTCAGCCCAGGTTTGTTGGGGAACAGCAGAACATCTGGAGGGTGAACACATGTGCTGGAAATCTAATTGCAAGAATGCAAGTTAGCCTGGTAATAAAGAGCCTTCTAATCATAAATAACTAACTGGCTCAGTGTTTCCCAAACTCTGGGCACAGCCAGGCATCACAAAGTGGTTCTGGGGCAAATCTCTGTATTTGTTCTCAGCACTGGAGCTGTTCTTTAGGGCTGGGAGGAAGCTTATTTTTGATGAGCATGTTCTGTTGTGAAGGGTGGGAATGAGACAGTTCTGCAAAAAACCTCACAAAGTGTCTTTGGTTTGGTTTCATAGCATCTTAATCTGAGCAGTCCTGTCTGAACTGCCCAGGACTGCAGGTACAGGCAGATGCTGATGCTGACACACTGTGTTGCATTGGCCCATTTACCTCCTACCCTGCACTAATGCAAGCACCATGCAAGGTGCAAACCAGTGGAAAATCAAGGCTCATTAGCCAGATTCTCATCTGAATTACCCAGGTACAGGTCTGAGCTTCCTTAGGACCCCCCAAGATAGTGGCATACATCAAAGATCAGAATCAGGTCTCTTTTCATTTATGTCATAGCACTCGTGGATACTGAAAAACGACAGAAAAAGGCACAGGAGGAAATGGCTCTTTTACCCTTCAGCTGCAATCTCTTCTGTGCAATATGCCAGACTTGTTAGTAATGAGAGATGAGTCAAAGAAAGTCAACTTTCCTGTCACTCCCCTTGTGGCTGTTGATTTTTGTCTTCAGAAATAACTCACCTCTCCCTCCTCTGCTGCCCATGTCACATTGCCTGTGTTAATGTGCTACTTCCCTATGTGTAATGGTTCTGAATGTTGCAGAGGCAGAAATTACTGGGTTGGCTCAGATGCTCAATCCCTGCTCTGGCAGCTTTTCCAAGGCAGTTTCACCCAGTCTCAGCACACAGCTCAGGGTTTCTGTGTAGTTCCTGCACTGCTGGTGCCCTTGGCCTGACTTGCTCCTCTCTTGCAGGACCTGGGGCTGCTGGAGATCCCTGCAGAGCTCGCAGCCCTCCTGCAGTTTGGTGAAGGTGAGAAATCTTCCTCCTTTCCTGACCTGTTCTATTTCACTGTGTATTTCCTTGTTTATGGCATTGTTGATTCCACCTGCTGCCTGTCACCCAGGCTGGATTTGGTTTAGTGCCATTGCAGTGTAAACAAGATAAAGGCAAATGGTATTGTGATATTGTTTCCTGGCATGAGAGGGTGGGAAAACAGCTCGGGCCAGAGGGCAGAACACCTGATTAATAATCAGTATCTTTGTTAATTTTTCATCTTTACTTTTGAACTTGGTTGGTAGGATTGATAATAGTGATGGTGCAAAACTCTCTTTGGAACTGTTTAATGAACTCAGGTTTCTGGCAGCAATGAATATCTGGGGGGGTAGTACTTAAACCTATCTTTTACCTACTCAGAAATCTTGAAGGAAATTGAAGGTGAAGAAGTCAAAACTGCAATTTTATCGGTTTCAAAGAAATACTTTTAGGCTGCACTAAAACTGAGAAACAATGTAACAGCTTAATGATGTAGGATTATAACACTCAGTGATCCTTTTAGCTTGGTATGGAAAGTGTTTTGTTCTGTTTTCAGCTCCTCACAACACCACTAACTGAAATAATTCCCCAAGCTGTTGACCTGACCTTGAGCATGAAGTCATTTGCAGTTTTGTTTCCTCTGTAGCTCTTTGTGCAGTGTGAATATTTAAGTTGTAAATAGGTTGGGGCAGAATTTGCCTCTCTGAGTGGGCGCAGTGTCAAACAAAATGCCAGCTGTGCCTCTGGCCTTCTGTGAGGGACACAGTCAGGCAGAAGAGACTTGGGAATTGGAGCAGACTGTGCTGGATTCCCAAATACCTCACACTTCATGGCATAGCCCTCTGGGAGCTATCAGCTGGTCTAGTGAGCAATGTAAGCCAGTGGGGGTCAGGGAGCACCGAAACTGCTGAAAATGAAAGCTGATGGGATGGAAACAGGGTGAGGAGAGCATCAGAGGACACAGTGTGTTTGGAGATAGGGGAATGCACAGGAGCTGTTGTGCATTGAGAAATCCCTTCAGTGAGGAAGATGTTTACTCCTCTCTTATCCATGATAAATCCCTCACTGTGAAGACTTCTTATTAATTGTTGACTGAACAGTTGTCAGCAGGATCTCTGCATGGGCTCAGTGTTTGCTGCCTTGTCCATGCTGCAGAGCAGAATTGAATCTCCAGGTGCTCCCTGCCCTTTCCATGTTGCCTGGGGATAAGAGACTGAAGGGACTGGAAAATCTCTCCTGAAGTGAGGCCTTGTGGTCTCAAAGATGTGAGGCTGTGCCTGCTTGGGATTCTGAGGCAGTTGGGATGGGATGGGATGGGATGGGTGTCCCTGGAGTCAGGGGCTGGTGCAGGTGCTAAGGCAAGGTGAGATGCAGGTTTGCCATGTGTTGCTCTGAGAGCTGTGTGTATTCTGTCTCCCCTGTGCCACCTGCCACAGCATAAGTTCTCCTTCTCTTACAGGTCAATACCAAACACAGGCCAACCAGATAACTGAGACATTGCCACCAGAAGTCAAGGTCAAAGATAACCTTTCCCTCCCACCCACCATCAACAGCTATCCCTTTTCCTCCTTCATTAAGTCACACTTCCAGGTGGGAACTCTTTTTTTTATCTCTCCATTGCTTCCCCACTGGGGAGACACACTAGTTCTAGCAACACCAGGAGCAAACTCTACGTTTCTGTCCTTTGTTTCTTTGTAGAGACCAGATTTCCCTCCCCCTGGTCAGCTTCTGCAGCAGCCCTTAACCCACCTGGGTGCTGAACACCATGAAAGTACACTAGAGATCAACAAACTGGTAAGAGATGTCATTCTTGACCTTGTTGAAGAACAGATGGACATAGGCGACATTTTGATGCCTTTATACAACAAGATGCTGCTGGTGGATACTGTTCTTATGATGGATGGTGTGGTAGAAAAGCAGAATAACTTGCTCCTTCTAGGAGGAGCCTGGCAGAGATCACGTGCAGCCCCTCGGGGTTGCTGTGTCCTTGGTGAGGCACAGACCACTGGGATTAAAGTTAATTGCCTGGTGATGTAGCCTCAGAATTTGGCAGGACATATAGGAATTAGACTGCTGAGCCTTAGTTTCCCCATTTTCCAGATTCAGCAGTATGAGGAGGAAGTGTCTTCTCAACCACTTACTCATCTGTCAGTCAGAAAGACAGTTCATTTAACCCAGGTCTTTTCCATGGTGTGGCTTATAGTAAATATATTGAGAGTGTCTCAGGCTCACAGTTGTGTCAGTACCCATGAGGGGACAGGGAACTGTTGCATAAAGGCTGGAAAAGGTAAGGACTTTGTCATCAGGGAAACTACACCTAGAACCACACCCTAACCCTGGAGTGTTTGTGTGGAGGGGACTGTGTTATTTCAGCTCTGTGGGTGCGAAACATACCTTTCTTCCTTAAAATGGTAACCTTTAAATGTTTGAAAATAGAATGAAACTCCAGATAATTTCTAAGTAAATCTGGCAATCCTTTTGAGAATTACACAGCATTAAAATAAGCCCATTAAGAAAGTTAATAGCTAAACCCAGTCCCTTGTTTTGTCCTCATGATCCCAATTACAGAGGAGCATAAGTTCTATAAAATCTTGTGAACAGGATTGTGTTTAAGCAGAATATTATTATTTTTCTTGAAGATCAAAAGTAATTTTTTTCTCCATTGCCAAAGTAGGGATTTAGTACAAAAAATTTCATGAGAACTAAACAACTACCATCCCCTTTTTCTCAGTGAATCCCTGACACACTTACCACCGTTAAGTAGTGGTACTTAGTACCGTTTTAGAAGTGTTGTCATCCCTTAAATCTTCTTTCCAAAGCTGTGATGGCACATTTTGGAAAGATTTTAATTAATGACACATTGAAGTGTAGAGGCTGAAAGATTAGTCTGTGCCTAAGGGTGAGAAATACAAATTACAAAAGCATTGAAGATATCCATGTGCATAGGCAAGAAGCTGAATCATTGCTTCAGTGAGTTTGTTGAGACACCACATCTCATCCTACTTGGTATAATATTAACCATACCAAAGTCTTTTAAACATTCAGTGGGTTCAGTAAGAAATATCCTGTGGTAATTTTCTTGTCTGTCTGAGCCCTGCCCAAAGGAGGGGAAGTATTTTGCCCAAGACCAAATTCTGAGTCAGAGACATAACTAAGAAAAGACTGAAGTCACCCTGACTTGTAGTCAGGGTCCAATCTCTGTAAATGTTGCCTCCCAAATTCCCCAAGCACTTAGGTGGTGCAGAAAACCTGAGAACAAACCCTGAGCTGAGTGTTGGCTACTCTTAGGCTCACAAACACCTTGGTGTCTACAACCCAGGTGGTCACCTTCCAACACAGTTTGGGACAGAGGCTGACACAGCTTCTCTCTCCTTTTTCCCCTGGATGTTTCTAGATTTTGCGGTTCATTGGTGACAAGAGCCTCCGTGGCTGGCAGGAGGCACTTCTGGGCAACTACATTGCTGCAAGAGGTTTGAATAACATAGCTCTGCGCAACGAGATCTTCAGTCAGGTGGTTGCCCAGACATGGAAGAACCCAGACCTGGAGCACAGCCAGCGAGCCTGGGTCCTGATGGCCACTCTGCTCAGCTGCTTCCTCCCTTCACCAGCACTGGAGAAGCCACTGTTGAAGTAAGGAGGAGAAAAGACCAAGCCAGGCTCGCATTATGGTTAAGAGAGAAGAGATGAGCTAAATGCAGGTGCCTTTTCCTAGATTCGTGTCCGACCATGGCTTGGAGGGCTACAATGCTGTTTGCCAGCGCAAGATCTTGACATCAGCACAGTACACAGACTCTGCAGTCTCTCGGGCTTACCCTCCCACTCAGCTGGAGTGGACAGCAAACCAGAGGAGAGGGAAGATGGTGCTGGATGTTCATACCTTTAATGGTAACTTGTGCTTCTGCCCTGTCTTCTAGTCCCTAAGGACTTCTAGTGTAGAAATCAGCATTTGGAAAATAGGTCCCTCAATTTAGTAAAGAGGGCTCAGGACACTGATTGCTACTGGCTGGTACTGCCATGGGGGATTTAAACATCTGAATCTAGACCCAAAACTTGCAAAGTCTGGGCCTGGTGAGACCTGCTGCTCTGGCTGAGGGATGAGATTCTCCTGGGTTTGGGCCTGTCTCACAGAGGGCTGTTCTGGTTGTGCTTCTCTATGGGTCTTGCTTTCCTGTCACCCATTGCAGCACAGCCCATACAGCAGCAGTTTGTTACAGAAATTTTCTGCCTTTCTCCCTCCTCAAATATTGCCTTATGCTGCCTCTTGAGTGAACAGAAGTTCTGAGCACTGAAAACAGAACTTTATCTGGCTCCCTGTGAGTGGAGTGATGGCCCAAGCAAACCAGGACACTGCGAGAGGTTTCAGCTGTCAGGTTGAAAACACCAACCTGTGCCATCAAACAGTTATCTTGGATGTGAATATGTTCATGTGGAGCCCTCCATGTGCTCTCAGCCCTCCTGTGGCCCCTGCTCAATAGTGTGTGAGATTTTCCAGCTGGGCACAGCCTGTGCCCCATGGAGTGTAGGTGTTGCTCTGGGTTCTGCTGGAGGGGCTGTGGATACTGACTTCCTTCTCTGTGCTAGAGGAGACCTTCTCAGCTGAGGTGGAGTCCTGGATGACTGGGGAGCAGTATGCAGGCTGGATCCTGAGTGTAAGGTACTGCCAGAGGATGGGAGAAGGTCTGGGGGTGTGAAAGAAGATGTCACTAGTTCTAAGGCTCAGACTGGTTGGGGCTGCAGGCTAGAATTTATGTGGTCAGGTGTAGACTAGCCACTCCTTACCCATTCTGGCTTGTGCTCTCTTCTTCACCCTTCCATCTGTGTGCATAAAGTGTGGGTTTCTTTAGGAACAGAGGAATCACTGGTGTGATCTCTCAGAGCAGCTTCAGAGAAAAAAAATGGGCAAATCTTGAATGATTCTATTTTTTTTTCCTGACCCTGGGTACTTAATATTTGATCCACACCCTAAATCTAAAGGACTTAAGCCAGGATAGACTAGGCAAGAAGAAACTGAATTCAGTGTTTTCCTTCTCCCTTTCCCCTGCCTACCTAGACACCTTTCCTCTCCTTCCTTTCCCTGTTACCAGGGGCTGTGATAAGACTCGAGGGTGGTCTATCTCCATGTTTACTGGCAACACATGGCAGGACCTGCTGGGTTGTGACTTTGTGCTGGACCTCATCGGAGAGATGGAGGACACCAGCAACTTCAGCAGCTCCTCCCAGTCCTCATCTGAGTATCCCATAGCTCCAGAAAGGGATTGGAATATCTCCCAGCACTCTGACCTGGACTCGTAAGTCATCTGTTCCTCCTGCCCCACTGCTTGTGGCTCTGTCATCCAGTAGATCACCTTTCAGCACTCTGTATGGTCCTCATCTCATTTTCCACTTCAACAGGATCCCTCCTGCTCCAGGTATCCAGGCCCCTTCCCTCCCACCACCTAGCCTGCCTCCAGAACTCATTGATCTCCATCCAGGTAAGCTTTAGCCTGGGACTGTGGGTGGCACTGGGAAGGGCCAGATGGGCCCCAGCCAAGGAATCAGAGCAGAGGGGGAGACAGGTGATTCTCCTCAGTGTAGAAAAAGGGAGAGCTCCACTCCAAAGCATAACTAATAGGGACTGGAGGTAGAGGAATGTTCCTTACCTGCCTCGCCAACAGACTTATTTGCTCCTAGATGCCAGGGTCAGAGACGACCTGAGGACCTCTGCAGGCTTGGATCACTATGTGGATGATCTCTTCAACCCTGTGCTGCATCAGGGCTCCAGAGCATCAGTAAGCGCCTTGATGTTCCCTCTTGTTTTCCCTCTGCAGCTCTCCTGTCCCTGTGGCTCCCTCAAACATTCTTCTGCCTATTCATCACCTCTGCTCAGCTCAGACATGGCTCTGGATGTCTCTCCCTCTGTCAAGTCTGTCTCTCTGAGCTCAGACAACTGGTTTTTTCTTGATGCAGGACATGGAAAACAGGGAGAGTCTGACTGGACGCATGAAAGGAGGTGGGAAGATTGGACCCACACAGAGAGGAATCTTTCCCTCTACAGGTCTGTAAGGGGATGGGAACAGCTGGGAACACCTGTGGGACTATATGAGCTTCAGTGAGCACCAGTCAGGGGGCCCCTTAAATGCTAATTACTGCATGGGCTCTGCTGGTTCATGAGGCACATGGGTCTTGAGCACAGGCCATCAGATGTCACAGTCCTCACTCCCAGGTGCTGGGAGACAGATGCCTTGGCAAAGGTGTTAGGTGAGGGAATCACCTTTGTTCTGCTTTGAATTTCTCTTTCAAGTTGGTTTTGGGGTCAATGCAGCAGGTAGCTTGTTTCTCACCCAGGCCACCTCTTCCCTGGGCAAGTTAAAGTCATGTATTCATCCTCTGTTCACCTTGTGCTTTCATAAAACAGTTGGTGTCTTTATCAGGGGAGAGGTTTAATCTCTCATATTGCTTCCTTACAGAATTTCCCATCATCCCTAGCTATTCCTTGGGTTAGTAAGTCGGAACCCTGAAGAGGTTCTGGTTTGTGTGTTTGGTTTCTTTACTTTTCCTCATTTCTGTGGAGCTCAGGCATTTTCAGCAGGGTGGAGTCAAACACCAACGTATCAGTTGCACTGATAACCTGCATGGGTAGGACACACCCAGCAGTTTCAGAAAGGTGGAGAGTGTCCAGTTCAGTCATTACTGAGACTGGGACTCTTCTTGGCTGTTGTAGAGCCTCTGGGACATGACAAGCCCTATCACAGATCATTGGCCTGAGGTCAGTTTGTCACTTATGTGGCTACTTAGATGAGAGAGGAATGTGATGGGGGCCATCCCTGGGCCACTCTCACCTGTGAGGACACCATGGTTCAGTAGACCTGAGCTGTGTGCTGACTCCCTCCTACCTGGGACTGACCTCCATGCTCCTTGCTCTGCTACCTTTTACCTCAGTGGGATTTGTTTTGTGACCACAAAAGTTTGTATGGGACTTGAGTGCTGAGAGCAGAGGAATTCCTTTCTCCTCCAGGACAGACAATGCCATCCAGGCCTGGGGGCTCATTGTTCATCCACCCTTGCTACCTGTTGCAAAAACACTGAAAGGGATGTGGCAGTCCCAGAGATCTTTGCCCATCCCTCAAGAGAAACCCTCCTCTGCAGGAGTTATTTATATGCTTCATCATGAAGGATGGAGGTATCCTAAGCTAGGCTGCAAAAGCAGAGGTTGGATGCTGCTATTTAAAGTCTGGCAGGTCACACAGTTTTCTTAGGTTTCCTTTTTCTGCCTGAGTTTTGCTGTGTCCTGCTGTGGCTGGTGCATGTGGAGAGCACCAGAGGTGATGTGCTCTGTGGGATTGCTCAGGGCTTTCTCATTTGTGATCCCCCAAAAGTTATGTGGTCTTTTGCCTTTAGGCTTCTCTGGAATGACTCAAGCACCAGTTTACCAGCCCATGCCTTCCATGATGGGGATGCCATCAGCCATGCCCATGATGCCAACAGCAGGTGGACTTGCACCTATGCCACGTAATACCAGTGTTTCAGTAACTATAGAGGGGGAAGGGGATGGAAGGAGGTGTCAGTGGAGCCTGTGCATGTCAATGCCAGGTCGGGTGCTCAGTGGACACACTGCTCTGGGCTGATGCTCAGGCACCGTGGGGAATGATCACCTGGAGGCTCTTGCAGATGTGTGTGTGTTTTCCACAGCCATGATTATGCCCCAGCCCATGGTTCCAGCTATAGATCCCAACCAGTTGGCAGCACAACAGCAAGCCTTTATCAACCAGCAAGCCATGCTCATGGTGAGTGGAAGGGATGGGCTGGGAGGGGCCCAGGAAGTTGGTGTATGTGCAATGGAGAGAGGAGCTCTACTCCCCTCCTGCCTTAGGCCTGCTCTGTGACACACTGTGCTCATGTGCTGGGGGTGAGCTCTATAAAGCTGAAATTATTTAAGACTGCAAAACTGAGAATTCCCTTTTTTGCCCCTTGTGTTCATAGGGACACTGAGGCACCAGAGAGCAGCAGGGACAGGAACAGGCCCTGAGAAGCCTCATCTGTAATTCCCATGGGTTTTTAAGCTGGGACTTGCTACAGATGCAGATCTTCAGTGTTCTGCATAGCAGTCCCAGGTTATCTGGTAGCTGAATCTTTGGGGAGGTGCTAGGAACTCTGAAGCCTTGGCTAGGTGGGAGCAGACTCCTGGGCATGCCTTGTCCATTACACTGGGAAATTTGCAGAGGACTATGTAGATAATCTGTGAGTACCACTGAAAGAACAGGACAGTTTGACTGATGGCTGGTGCTTTTGTGTAGCCTAGCGCTCATGGACATTGCAATTCCTCCCTCCAGGCCCAGCAGATGACCCTTCAAGCCATGAGCATTTCTCAGCAACAGCAGCAGCAACAGTCTCTTGAGAACACAAGGCCAAGAGTCTCAAGTCCACCACAAACCCAAGCCACAGCTCCAGCCACTCTCCCAAAACCCAAGAAGCCTTTCAGCCACCAGGATGCTGCAACACCATCAAAGTCTACAGAACCACCAGCTAAGGTAAAGAACTGGTATAAGAAACAAAGAGCAGTGGTGAGTTTGGTTTGAATTTCATGGTTTGTGTTTGCTCTGCTTCCCTCCCAGCATGGCCATAGTTTAGCAGAGAGGAGAGTGTTATGCTTACTGATGATACTGAGGCCTTTCAAACTCTGCTTGCTGAGTCTTGAAGGCACAGGGTCAAACCTTGGTGGCATTTGCTCTGTGGAGGTTTGGCTGCAGTGGTGGCCAATTAATTTCCAGCTGAGCCGAGTTTTTCCAAAGGAAAACTAATTACTCTTGAGTTCTTATCTTCCAACAAGCTCTTTTGGGCCTCTAACATAATCTGGGCTTGGTTGATGATTCCTTGTGTTAGAAACTGATCTATTGGGACACTCCTGGCTGGGGAGAAGTTCTAGATCAGAACTTGGTGAGATAAAATCACCTCTGAACTGCAGGGCACTATGGAGGTACCTGCTAGGGCCTACTGACCATGTTGTGCACTTCCTGCAGGTTTATGACTACATGAAAGACGAGTTCACCAGTGAAGATGATAACAATCCTCGGGAAACCTTCCAGCAGAAGAGAGAATATTTTCAGAAGATGGGTGAGCATCTACCACTTTGGGAATTTCAATCATCATAACACCTTGCTTTTCAGCCTCCCTATCATAGCAAGGTGTCCTTGTTTCCCTGTCTGTAACTCAGCTAATCCCTGCAGGGGCTGCTGGTGCTGTGTGTAGCAGTTTTGGGTTCTTGTTCAGCTGGCTACAGTTCACATTGTGAGGTGTTGTGGGGCCAGTTTTCTAGAAATCTTTGGGTTGTCACACTCTCCTTCAGCTCTAGAAAACATTTCTGCTGTCTGAGGTTTCTGCTGTCTGAGACAAGCGTGGGAACTGTGCCTTCAGTGCTAGATTTTGCATGTGGGTTTAACTAGCTCAGGTATCCCTTTCTATGCAGGAGAGCAACAAATCCAAGTGAAGAAAGTCAGGCCTCCTTCCAAAATCTGGACCCCACCAACTAATCCCCAGCCAAAACAGGAGGAGGAGGAAAAAGAGGAACAGGAGAAAAGGAAAGAAGTGAAGCCTGTCCCTAAACCAGAGGCAGGTAAGATGCTGTGCAGTGGAGACCCAGGCAGGCTGACGAGCAGGAACTTTCCAGGAGCATCAGGCCAGGATATAGGCTGAGAAGAAAAGGAACTGGCTTTTCTGGGAGTCTCCATTTTTACAGGAGAGGAGAGAGAGGAATGGCTGAGCTTTGGGATGTGGGATCCCAAAGCTAGGCAGTGGAAGGTCATGGCCAGTCAGCTTCAGGGGGAAAGAGAGAGAACTTCGAAGGAGATAAAGGGATTTCTCCTGTGTCTTTGCTGGTCTGTTGGCTGAAACTGTCACCCCAATAGCTCCTGCAGCTCCTTTGCCACCTCCTGAGCCAAAGCCAGAAAAGGAGACACCAAAAGTGAAGAAGGAGCCACCTGTAGTGAAGCCTTCAGGCCCTGAGTCACGTCCTGCACCCAGCCGGGAGATCGGCAACATCATCAAAATGTACCAGAACAGACCAGCCCCCGAGCCCCAGCCCTTTGAGCCTGTCAGGTGAGAGTGGTATCCACCAGGTGGGCAGGAAGATGAGTGGGACTATGTCTAAGCACTCTCACGTGGCTCCTCTGCAGCCCCTGTGACTCTGTTCCCCATTTCCTTGCAGGAGACAATCCAAGCCATTTTTAAAGAAGATCGACCCCAAATACGAGGCTCTGGCCAAGCTGGGAATGATGAACACCTCACCTCAACCACCAGTGAGTTCTTTGCTCTGTGGTCACCTTAAAAGCTCAGCAAAGAGAGCCTGTATACCCAATCTCCATCAGACTGGGAGCTCCCTTGTAGTGCAGTAGCAGCCAGGTGGTTTCTTGTTGGGTTACTAGGAGTTCATGCCATGGTGCTGCCAATCCTAGACTGGGTTGCAGCCTGTAAAGTCATCTGAGGTCCTGAAGCAGCAGCAGCAAGTCCTATTGTGAACTGCATTTAAAGCTGATCTGGAAGCAAGCAGCTCATGTTCCCCACATTTGGCACCAAGGCCTTGGCCCATTAATGTCCTTTTCCTCTTCCAGACTGGTGGCTTCAGCCTCAAATCTTGGTTCTCTGGGTTTGCTTGATCCTCATCTCTTTGTAGATTGTGTGTTGATTTAAAGGTCCTGGTGTCCCTGTTCACACAGATCTTGCTTCCAGGGGACTGCTGCCCCAGGGGTGACTTATAACAGCAGTGTCAGGACAGAGCACAGGTATGGAGAGAAAGATTGGGTCAAATGGTTTTGCTGTCTTGCAGCCATCTCCTGTGCCACAAGAGAAGAAATCACCTCCACCTCTCAAGCCCAAGCCAGGCCAACCTTCCTCCTCTATCAAGGAGAAGCAGTTGCCTCTCCTGGCCATCTTCAGACAGGAGAATACTCCACCACCTCCTCAGGCCCCACTTGCTCCCCCTCCTCCACCACCATTGCCTTCACCTCTCCCACCTGGGGACCAAGACATGCAGAAACCCACAGTGAAGGGTGAGTATTGACTTCATCATACATGTGGGGTTTGTTAGTGGGGTAGGGAAGGGATGGGGTTGCAATCAGCGCAGTGCTCAGGAGAGTCATGACATGTCTCTCACTATGCATATTCTCTCATCAGCCAAAGACTGAGAAATGAGAGAGATTGCACAATCAGGTCTGTGTGGACTCAGAGAGATGTCATTGTTCCAGTTGGTCCCAGTAATCAGCTTGGCAATTCCCAGCTCAAACTCTTCCCTTCTGAAAAATGCAGCTAAAAATAGATCCTTTGGCCTCCAGTTTATCAAGGTCCAGTCCACAATATTTTTTATTGTCTACCTGAGGCATAATTACTCTATGGAGGTGGCAATTAAGGGGTGGACTTTAGACCAAGGAGGAATGGGAAGCTGTGTTTCACCTTACAGAGAGTCTGGAAGGACCTTAGGGACAGGCTGAGGAACAAGGGAATGTTTTTCAGAGGGAGAATGGGAGCCTGAGAGACCCTGGACATTGGCCACATAAAGAGTGTCTGGTTGCTGCCCACCTAGCTGTGCTAATGCTGCTTAGCAGTAGTTTGGAAGTGTTACTCAGTGTTAGGTTTTGCCTCTGAATTTCAGTAGCAGCCTGGAGCCATAAGTCATTTTGTACTTTGGATATCTGTATCAATGTTTTTCAAGGTGTTTAAAACTCATCGACATCATGTTTCATAACATGCAAGAACAGGCAGCCAAACACTTTACTGAAGGACTCTGTCCTGCAGCAGCTTCCCTGGTATAAAAGAATTTCTCTGCTTCTTCTACCTTAAAAAAATGTTTCTTTAGCAAGTCCTGTGAAAGTAAATTGAAGTGACTGAATTTGTCTGTAGAATCCCTATGTGCTTTTGAATAGGGATATAGAAACAGCTGAACTGTGGGTTCTGCTGCATTTTCTGTCTATGAGCTCTGAAGTTTTGGAAGTTGGGAGTGCTTAAATGAAGACATTCCTACCTCATAAAGCAACACCTCTGAACAAATACCTTCATAGCGAGTCTGTCTATGACAGATCTGCAGAGAGACAACCCAGTGCTAGTACTGGGTGCCTTGTACCAGAACCTTGCAGCCTGCAAGCTCAGGGAAGACCTTTATGTTCTTCTGAAACCTTTAGCAGCCTTTTTATAACAACATAAACTAAAACTCGTGTCTCCAACCTCAAGCACAAGGGTAGCACTTTGCCTGGGAGGCTGTGTGCTCCCTATCTCTGAAGTGTTCCTGTTATGAGCACTGAAATCTGGGGCTAATACAGCAAGTGCCAATACTATTGGAAATGCTGGTAGTGACTGGTTTGTGCTCACATGAGCTGCTCACTGACCTTCAGGAGGGTCCCTGACAGTAACCTTCAGTCGGGTGGATGGCACTGTCCCCTTTCTCCTGGCATGTCTTTGGCAGGTGGGAAGGTGACCCTGCAGTCCTCAAATCTCATCTTCACTGCTCTTTCTCCTCACACAGACTCTCCTGTGACAGTAGTAGGTGATGACGGTATCAAGACCCAGTTGTACAAACTCACTACCAGCATCAGCTTTTCCTATGTCGACCCTGCCTGGAAAATCTTCCTGCGCAAAGAGGTGCAGTTCATTAGCTGAGGGATGGCTTTGAGGGGAGGGAACCGGTCCCACCTTTGGTTAAAATATTATTTTTGGTCATAGACACCCAGTGTAAGATAAGAGTACAAAGATAGTTCTGGGAGGAGGTCACAGACACAGGATTTGGGGACAGGGGTTCATCTTGTGGGAGATCTGGGTCCTGCTCTGCCTTACTGACACTTGTGCCTCTGTTTCCTTGCCTGTCCTCTCCTTCCTCTGCAAAGGAGTGACAAATCTACCAATGAAGTAAACTTGCCATTTCCTGATGCTTTCCTGTTAAAATAGTACAAGTATGTTTAAAAATCAAGTATTGAAGAGTGCACTGAACCGACCAGTGTTTACCCCTTGGTCTCACCAAGGTTTGGTCCTCCACTCCTGGTCCTTCTGTTCACATTCACAGTGTCTCTTCCCTGCCTGTCCTTGCAGATGAACTCCCTCCCCTCTGGCAGCAGGGCATAGGGGTTACAAAACATCCCTGAGGAGCTATTTCTGCAGCATCTGTAACACCATGATTCTCTTCCTCTTGTAGGTGTTTTACCCCAGAGAAAATTTCAGTCACCCTTACTGTCTGAACTTGCTGTGTGAGCAGGTATGTACTGAGGTGTGCCTCAAGGCCTGTTGTCTCTCTGAGGACAAAACACTCCATAATTATACTACATAAGTTGCCTTTACTTCTCCATCCCTGGTGGTGTTAACCTCTTCTCCAGTTCCATCCAGTCAAGCCCCTGCTCACTCCTCTCTGAGCCTCAGTCTGTTGAACAGAACCAAATGCTCCAACACAGTGAGATGTTGCTCTTGCAATGGAATCTTTTCTGTTTCCTTCCTCTGCAGATCATCCGTGACACCTTCTCCAATTCCTGCATTCGGATCTCCAGGGAGGAGAAGCGCAAGATGAAAGATCTGCTGGGTAATTAACATCCTTATCATCCCTTCCTCCCTGTGCCCATCCCAACTTTGGGCTTGAGATGAGAAACCAGCCTCCAAGCCCTTTGAGACAGGACTTAGGGCAGAGGAGAAATGTTTGCCCCTGCAGCAGGAAAGCACATTTGTGTGTGCTGTGGAGTGCAGTGTAGGAATGTTCATTTATTCCAAATGGCCACAAAAGGGCCCTGAGACTTCTCTGAGCCCAAAAAAGTTATAAAATATTTCTTGTGGGGAGAGGAAACTGAAGCCCAAGGATGGGATTTTGATTTGTCTCAAAATCCAACTGTCATCATTGGCTGGAGCTTCATGGAGAGGGGGAGGGAAACCAGTAGTAGATTGATGTGTGCAAGTAATGTGTCATTTCACCTCTGCATATCGTTTGCTATGCTGTAAACACTGAGGGAGACTGGTGGGAATGAGTCACTGGGCAGAGGGAGCCAACTTTATCTTTCTGAGCAAGTGTCTGTTTGTAACCCTGGTAGCTGAGTTCCGGGTTGGCAACGATGTCCAGTCCATTCAGGAGGATGGGATAAAGAAGAGGATTGTACTGGCTGCTCGGGATAACTGGGCCAACTATTTCTCCCGTCTTTTCCCAGTTTGTGTGAGTGTTAATTTTCTCACCAGACCCTGAGCTTGCTTTAAGCTGTGGCTCTGGTTCACCTGGGATCTCCTCCTGTCTCCCTGCCTGGACATACATCACTCCTCCTTCTGTGCCCTCTGTACCTGGCCGAATTTGACCCCTTTGTCAGCCCTTGTATACATGTGGTGGCATCTCCTGCTGCTGCCTGTCCAGGTGGGATGGAGCTGTTGACGCTCTCTGACACACTTCCCTCACAGGCTGAAAATGGAAGCAGTGTGCAGATCCTGGGTGTTTCTCACCGGGGCATGAGGCTGCTGAAGGTGGAGAAAGGAGCGGCATATAGTCCTGATCGCCTCAAGATTCTTCGCAGCTACTGGTGAGCCAAAGGGCACTGGTTGCTGCAGGGTGATAGTTTGTCACTTGCAGAATGCTTTTGGAGTGTTGAGAGGCAAACTGAATGGGTGATCTGAAAATGCCAAGGTGTGTTGTGCTCTCTAGGATTGTCCTAGACCAGCTGTGACTCACTGACCTTCCTTCTAATGAGTCTGGCTTTTCCTTTTCCTTCCTACCTCCTGCTTTGATTTGCAGTGAGTGAGTGCTGGGGGTGAGTCAGCTCCATGTGTGTCATCGCAGGGAGCTCCTCAGGGTGCTGTGGGGAAAGCCATGAGCAGCCTGTGGTGCTGTTGCTGTAGGAATACAGTGCTGGTGAAAGGCCACATGGAGCATGCTGAGGCCTGTCTGCATTCTCAGTCCTCAGAATGAGCTCCCACCCCCATGACCTGCATCCCTAGCTCTGGCAGAAGGAGCCTGAGCACATTGGCTTGTGTTCTCAGCTTTGCAGATGTGCTGTCAGTGCAGCTGAAGGGCAGCCATGTCCTGGAGTTCTCTCTGAAGACAGAGCAGCTCCTCCTGCACTCTCCAAAGGCTCCATGCATCAAAGCCATGGTGGAACTCTTCATGGAGGAGCTGAGGCAGGTGAGGGAGCAGCTGGAGTGCAGTAGGAAATGAAGGTGGTTTCCCATGTGGGCTTGAGAGAGGGTCCATGGGATGACATGACCTGAATCCTTCACATCCTTGGGACAAGATTTGACCTTCCCATCACTTTTTCCTCAGGATAGCAACTATGTCGTTGCTCTGCGCAGCTACGTCGTGGATGACAAGAGCCTTCTTAGCTTCGAGAGGGGTGACCTCATTGAGCTACTGCCCATGCAAAACGTGGAGCCAGGTGAGGGCTGCTGGGTCTGTGGTGCCCAGAAGCTCTTCGTGCTGCTGTTGAGTCAAGCAGAGCAATATGGACTGTTAAGGGCAGATTGGCAGTCATCCTCCAGCTCTGCCATCCTCTGACTGCAACCCACTTTGTTCCAGCTGCCATACTTACAGGGATATATATGTTACCCTAGGGTGACACCTGAGTAGTCTGACGTTCTCCTTTGCCAGGAGAAAGCTTCACTGCTCATTTCTCTTGGTAGCTGCCATGATTCCTGACTGTTTTGCCTATGTTTTGGCAGGCTGGCAGTTTGGCTCCACTGGTGGCCGCTGTGGTCTCTTCCCCACCAACCTGGTGCAGTTGGCTGCAGCCCCTGATTACCTCAGTGCCAGCATGGATAGACACGGAGAGCGACGGAAGAGCATGAAACATTCCCCAGGGAGCAGGAACACCAGCAGGGAGGTGAGCTGTCCTTGGGGAACATCTAGAGGATATGGTCAGGTTCTGTGGGAGCTGCCTGTGTGGGTCTGTGTTCCTGGTAATGTCTGACCTGCAAGGCCAGAGGGAAGGTGGTGACTGCTTATCCTTACAGATGGAGACATTCAAATACGAGCACGGTGGGAGGGGAGGCATCACACGTGGATGAGGTCTGGCAAGTTAGAATACACACTGCAGTCCCTCAGCTGACTTCTTAGGGTGTGTTTGGTGGTGTCCCTGCAGAGTTCTGCTCCCAGCCTGACATCAGAACCCAACAGCACGATGTCAGTCCCTGCTGGTGATAATTATACCATGACTGACTTCGCCACAGCCTATTTCCGAGCAGCTCGGTCCATGTGAGTACACTCTGGTCCTTCCCAAACGGGCATACACAGGACCTGTGTAGCCTGACCCACACCAAGCCATTTCTGAGGATATTTCTTGGACTGCATGTTCCCTCTCCGCTGTCTAGGCAGGGACTGAAGGGCACATCTGCTGAAAAGAAGAGTGCAGCTGACCTGGTGCAGCACACCAAGGTGAGCCCAGTCTCTCCCCGTGGCTCTGGCCAGAATCCCAGCATTGCCTCTAGCATTGTCTCCACATGGCAAAAGCACAGGGGCCAGATCCTTGGCTGCAGTCTCTGGAGAAGTGTAGGTGACCCTACTCTTCAGTGATGCCTGCAAGATACTGGGAGCTTGTCTATGGTGAAGCCTTGAAGCACAGCTCTGTGTGATCCACCTTTCCAGTTTATCCTTCTGTTCTGGTCCTGTAGGTCCCAATTCAGGAGTCCTTGCTCCCATACTCTGACAGTGAGCTGAATGAGCTTGCTACAAAGAACTTCCTTAGTAAGTACCTCCCTAGGACACAAGACTGCAGAGGCTGGGTGTGGGGTCAGTGGGACAGCCATGGTGGGCACACACAGGCATCGTGGGGCTGAGTGGGGAATGAACACTGTGCAAGGAGAGCTCCTCCTAAGGCATTTCTGCAGTTGATAACCCCCTGTGTCCTTGTTGGAAGCATCCAGCAAAATGGACTTTGCCTTGAGTACAAAGTGCCCAAGAACACACACTGCCTGGGCTGTGGACTGACTACACATGTCCAATGCAAACCTTGTGGAGCAGAAAAGCTTTCAGGATGTTTTTTGAGCCTCCTGCCTGCCCCATAGCAGCTTCAGCCTAAATGCCAACCTTTGCCTTGCAGCACTGATGCAGTTCATGGGAGATCATTCAAAACCCAAGAGACAGACTGAGACTGCATGCATCTATGAAATCCTTCAGGTCTGTGACCTTCCCCTGGGCAAGGTGCTTGAAGCGCCAATGGGAACCTCTGGAGCTGAGTGAGGAAGGGTATAGAAATGATCTGAGGCCTCTCTGATGCTCTGGTCCCCTCTCTGATGCTGTTTTCTTCTCTCTAAATGCAGCTGTGCAAAGAGAAGGAGACTTTGCATGATGAGGTTTACTGCCAGGTCATCAAACAGGTCACCCAAAACCCTAAACAGTGAGTACCAGCACTATCAGCTCCTGTGTATGCACAGCTGGAGAGGAACCAATTTCCTCATGGACATCAGGGCCTGGGGAGAGGCTGTCCCTGAATGATGTGTTGCCCCCAGCTGCTCAGACACTGGAGCTTTCACTGAGCACTCAGGATATTTTGCTAGTCACTGGGTTTGGCATTTTCACTTCAGTGGATATTTGTCCTTGTAGTTCTGGTTACTGATATATCTGGGCATTGATAAACATTCCTGGTAGCTCCTGGTAGTGGTGCTGCTCAGAGCCCTGATTTTCTCATAGCCCGGGGGAATTGATACAATATCAGGGACTGGCTTGACCCCACACTGCCCTGTGACATGGCAGCAGTGGCATCAGGGTGGTCTTGACTGTTCCCATTGTTTGCTGTTAGAATAACTGAATCAATCCCTTGCTCAGCATAAGAAACCTCTGCAAGGGTCACCACCTCATTTTCTACCACCTACCACAGGTGCTCAGAATGGCAGAGGCTCATTTTGAGCTGCTTGGAGCAGGAATTATCTTGTTCCAAAGTGCTCACAGTTTGTTCTGTTCCACAGGGAGAGTGTGCTACGTGGCTGGTTGGCCCTAAACCTGCTAACTGGGTACTTCCTTCCTTCCAAAATCCTGATGCCCTATGCCACCAAGTTCCTGCAGCTAGCCAGCAGTGATCCATCCAGCACCCACCACGGTATGACTGTTTGTGTCCTGTAAAACAAGCATTCTAGTTCTAGTCTTCCCATCCAGTCATTCCTCTGTCCTCCTACTGTCCTGGACACTGTGGCTGCTTCCTCATGATTTGGATGTGTCCTGGCAGAGTGGGAGGTGATGTCAAGTGTCTTAGTTCTCCTAGCACTGACCAAGGGTTAAATTTGACCTTGTCAGGAGGACACAACACCATAGGACATAATGCTTAGCTCTCTGGCTCAGCACACGGAGCTTTTTGCTTTTCCTGCAGATATAGCCAAGATCTGTCAGAGCAACCTGAGGAAAAACTTCATGTATGGAGGCCGTCGCCACCTTCCTTTCCCTGTGGAGATGGAGGCACTCCTGGTATGATGGGCAGGGAAGTAGGGATGCTGGGAAGAGGGAAAGGGCAGAGGCTGGCTAGGAGGTGCTATGTACAGTGTTACAGGGTCAGTTTAGTGTTCCAGGAGAGAAAATGAAGCACATAGATATAAGGGGTTTGGGAGTCATGGAGTGAGCAGTGAATATGGGCAGGGAAGAGGCAGGTACTATGGACAAGCAGTGGAAGGCAGGGATGAGGAAGAAGAGGGAGAAACAATTGTGGGGCTGATGAGATCCTGCACGTCTTGCTGCCCAAAGACTGTTCTTTCCAGAAGGGGCACGGTGCCCGCCGGCTGGAGATACTGATGCCTGGAGGAATGGAATACCTCACCAGGGTCAGGACATTCACTGTGAGTTTACAACTGTGGATTTCATTGGTCTGGACTCTGAGCCACACCAGGGAACTCCCTTATCTGACAAGGGATATGTCTACCTGCTCTGGGCTGCTTTGGGTTTGCCTGATCATGGTACTTGTTTGCTTCTTTCCTTGCTACAGGTGGCCAAGGAGGTCTTGCAGGAGATCTGTGAGCAGATGGGAGTAGGTGAACCGGAAGAGATACAGGACTTTGTTCTTTTTGCTCTCAGGAGTGACAACAATAATCCTGGCAAGTAGAGATGAGCATCAAGCTTCTTAGTCTCTGCAACAGGGAGCACCAATAGCTTTGAATAGTTCCTCCACCCTTGCTGGCTCCTGGGAGGGTCCTCTTAAGCAGTTCCCCTCTGTGCTAGGGTTAAGGGCTGTGCCTTCTCAGGGGCTGTGTGGCTTGTTCCTGAAAGAGGTGTGTGGGTCTGTGCCCCTTTGGAATGGCTGATTCTTGGGAGTCATTAGGACAGGGTGGAACAGATGTGTGCAGGAAGGCTCCTGTCCCAGGCCATGGAGCTCAGATCACTGCTGCAGTACCAAGAGTGATGGATGACCCTCTGTGTAAATGTGTAGGTAAAACAGTGAAGCCAATAAAACCAGAGGAGTATCTGCATGATTACCTGCTGGAGGACAAGCTGGTCACCCTGACCTTGCGCAGGCTCTTATGGAGGACACCTCTGCACCTTGAGAATGAAACCTATATAGATGTCCATTATGGACAGGTAAGCAACAGCAGGACCTCTCCTAGCCAGGGCTCCCTGGCAGGGGCAGAGGTAGCGTACAGGAATGTCCCAAAGGGGCTGAAGGTGTGGGAGGACTTGGTGCTGCTTCTGGGAATGACTAAACGCTGAAGCTATGGATGAAAGGAAGGCAGTGTGACTGTAGCCCTAGCCTAGGAGCTCTGCTGGTCCACATATGATTAGTGCACTTCTGCAGGTTCTTCCTGAGCCCAGAGAGCCTTTGCTTTTATGTTATCAGCCTGAGTTGGATGTGTTATCAGGAAGACAGGATGTGGGTCTCTGCAGCCTGGCAGTGCCTAGAACTGCCTGTAGCCTCTGGCAGGTTTAACAGAGGTCTCTTTGCTGTGCTGTCTCTCAGATGCTGTGGGATTACCTCAGGGGCAAGATGCTGCTAAGCCAGAGTGAAGAAATGGAGATGCAGGTTGGCCTCTTGGCAATGCTGCAGCACTGGGCCAAAGAGGACCAGCAGAACTCTGCTCCCTCCAGGTACGTCTCTCTCAGGGTGGGTCTCTCTCTCTCTCTCTCTCTCTCTCTCTCTCTCCCTAATGGCTCTTGGGGTTAGGAGCAGATGCCTTGAAAGTACTCTCTGGATAATTAAGGAGTACTCTCTGGATAATCTGGAGAACACAGGATCATGAGGGTGTCATGGGCATTTCATTTGACAGCCATGGGTTTGTGGTACCAAGAAGGAAGTGCATGAACTTATAGTCAGGGTGAATGCTCCTTCATTCTTTCTCACAAGTGTCAGAGGTTTCAACCCTGGGCACCTGAAATCTGTAGTGTAATGGGAATGAAAATGTCCCTGGATACTGGAAAGCTTCTGTCCTGCAGTCCCAAGCAGTATTTTCACACTCCTTCCTTCCTGTATCCTTATGCACTTTGACTCAGAGTTGAGGTCTGTCAGATCCCCTTACAGCAACAGCAGCAGGGGGTAATGGCATAATCCTCCTGTGCATGGGGAACTCTGCCCTATGTAGTGCTTGGGACACACAGGAGCAAGACAGGGCTAGAGTAAGGTGGTGGTCAGCTGAGACTGCCTGTGAAGCAAACCCCCTGTGCCTTTACTTCCATGCTACATTCCTTGCTTGAAGAGCTCCTGTTGTCTCCAGAAAGCAGGGATTTCTCTCTGTACACTAGTCAGTGGTGCATAGCCACCTTCTCTGTGGAAAACTGTGGGCTTGCTGACTCTGATGTTTCCTTCCACCTTATCCAATGCAGATACAACCCACTGTGCTCTGCCTCTCTCCCTCCACCCTGGTCCCCAGCCATGCAACTGAAAATTGTTGCCCCATCCCCTCATCCTCTTAATCCCCCAGCTATCTTTCCATTTTGAAATGGCAAATCCATGTTTGAATTAAAATCTGCTTGTTGAGACAGGGAGGAGGTGATGGAATACACACCCAAGATCCTGCATGCCTCCATCAATCCCAAGGCTCTGCAGAACCACATTGCCACACTGCTGAGAACGAGGCAGCCCCTCCGGCCAGTGGATGCAAAAATAGAGTTCATAGGTGAGGACACAACCAGATCTGCTAGAGTCATCTATCCTGTGCATGATGGAAGGGTCTCTGCATGCACTTTTGGGGCAGTTCATGAGATTGTTGAGGATTCTAGGAGCCCAGAATGGGCCATGACAATAGAATTCCCTGACAGTCTCTCACTGAGGATTGGAACTTGTCCCCAAGCATGGTGATCATGTGCCACCCCTTGTAGAAGTCTGCAGGAGATTTTCAGAGCTCTGTGTAAGTTGTGTTGTAATTGATGTTCTGGCTGTATGTCTGTCTCCTGGTCAGAAAAGAATGGGCTATTCATTCAGGCTGCCAAGAATGGAGGACCAGCAACCTGGTCAGGAGGGAGAATTTGCCAATCTCATTTTTTAATGTAGAAAACCTTGGGACCACTGGCAGCTTTTGATCACCTTAGGCTGGTGCAGTAGATTACTGGCTGGAAACTGCTGACTGAGAGCTACTTATTGCTTTCTTATAGAGTACATGATGAAATTGCCTTTCTTTGGCTACAACGTCTTCATCATAGAGAGAACCAGTGATAACACGATCCCCGTGCCCTGTTTCTTTGCTGTGAATAAAGATGAGATCATTGCAGTGGATGGCAGCACCCAGGTATGCCAGACAACTCCCCCTGATGCCTGTCAGATACTAACTTGGACTTTAGAAGACCTTGTGCAGGAAAAGAATATACTTCACTGCATCACAGCCACTCTTTCAACAGCCCAAGCCCAAAGCAAGAGTGGTAGAAGAGTCATTACTGCCATGTGCTCTTTCCTAAGCCTCATGCTAACAAGCATGGTCCACAGTAAAACTCAGAGTGTGTCACATTCCTGTTTGTCCCACACCTGTGGGAGTTGTAGGGCTGTGCTGTCAGCAGGAGTCTGTGCTGTATTCAGCACACACCACCCTGTGCCCCAGACCTTACCTCAGCTTTCAATGGGCTCTTGAGGTGACTCCTCCGCGTTGAGAATCAGACGGTTTAACCTGCAAGGACTGCTCCAGAGCATGGTGTGTGGCTTTTCTCCCACACAGGCTGTCTCCTGTGTCATTCCGCTGAAGGAGCTGCAGAAGATGCGCACGCTGCAGCCCACCTCGCCTGACAGGCTCCCCAGCCTGGAGCTCAGCTACAGCTCTGCTGCCAGCATCAAGGTTATGTGGGTTGAACTGGCACAGGTGAGATTGGTCTGGACCTGCAGTTTCATCCTGGCAACTCAGAAATTGCCCTCCACTGCCCAGCTAAGCCTCAAAGAGACAGTGCTCCTGCTCTCTCCTGTCGCAGAGGAGGAGCCAGGCACTGCCTTTCCCAGGCTCCAAAGTGCTCCTCTGTCCCAGCACTTACCTGATACTGTTTCTGGGGCAAAGAATGACTAATGCTGCTTTGTGTTTTGGCAGGCTAAAGAACTGTACCACACAATAGTTGTCACCCTGGATAAAACAGAGTTGCACCCCTAGAGCCTCAAAGGAGGAGAAGGACCAAGGAAAACAGCACTGTTTCCCTTTCTTTGAGCTTGATCAGTGCTCTCAGACCTGTCCTCTGGAGAGAACTCTTCCAAAAGGCACCCATGACCTCAGACAGCTGCTTTCTAGGACTGCCACCACAGTGTTTATTGATGGACTGGACCATAACCTCACCCCTCGTGACCTGCCATTCAGTCCCTAAGGACTTCCCTGAAGCACTGCAGGCTCTGGCTAAACAAACCACAAGGCTCTCTCCACACCAGAGCCTGTTCCAACACTGAGCAGCTGAACCAATGCAAGCACTTGCCTTCAAGCTATGCAGTGTGGGACTCCTCTTTTCTCTATGAATTAATTAACATGAGCAAAGAATGCTGCTTGCTAGAGATTTGTGTATCCCAATGCCCAGCTGAGGCTATGAAGTGCCTGCACTGGCTGCTGGTGTTTGTCAGAGACCAGTTCAGTCTCTGCGCTGATATGCAAGAGGCCCTGTAGCAGGAGTTTATAGAAAGCAACTTAATTGCAAAGCAGATCAGTGTTAATAATACAATTAACACATATTGCTGGGGCACAAATTGAGCTGCAATGGTAAGAGAGTTTATTGTTAATTAATTTCTCGATGACCTAATTATATGCATATGCTTCTCTCTACTATAAAGAAGTCAGTTATGTCCATGCAGCTGTCAGGCTTCACTGCTGGCTCCATGCCCACAGAGGAAGTGTATTCAAATGCAGCTTGTATTATAGCAGTGTTTTGAATTGTACAAAAATGCTTAATTTATTTTTATTGCCACAGCTCTGAACTGAAGAGTAACTGCCCTTTTAGAAAACTACAATAACATAATCACAGAGATGTTTTGAAGGTATGAGATGACAGTTCTTACATCTAACCTGGGAAAACTGACCTACAGGTAATGGGCAAAGCTTGAGGAAAAGGTTGTCACAGGTCCCTGGGAAGAGCATAGAACCATAGACTCATAGAATTTAAGAGCTGGAATGGACCTTACAGATCGTCTAGTCCCAACCCCCTGCCCTGGGCAGGGACACCTCCTCACTAGATCAGGTTGCTCAAAGCTTCATCTAACCTGGCTTTGAACACTGCCAGGGTTGGGGCAGCCACCACATCCCTGGGCAACCTGTGCCAGGGTCTCACCACTGTTATAGTAAAAAACTTTTTTCACTAGAGCTAGATCTGAGGGTGCTCAATGCTTATGATGCACAGCTAGATTGGTGCTGGTGAACTGATGCCAGCAGGAACTACAGCATCTTCCCTGTCAGGCAACTCCCTTCAAGTGCTGCTTAAAGTATCTTAGACCAGTCTGTATGATTGAGAGGTAGTAAAAAGCTTCCACAGCATCTATAACATTGTTTATTGTCAGTTCTGCATAGACCCTTCAGTACCTTTAAAAAAATACATCTGTGGAGTACAGTGACCCAAAAGTCTGATTGATGGCCTCTCAGGCTGCAGATTCCTCTAGCAGCACTAGTGCCTGAGGCCACCAGCCTCTGTAGGCATGGAACAAAGGCAGAACCCAACAAAAATCCAACAGGAGGGACTTACGCCAGGGAATCAGGTTCAGGTCCTATATAAACATAGCAGCAGAGGCACCACAGTGTCAGTTTGAGGGCCACAGCAGTACCTTAACCAGTTCTAACAGCAGCATTGCCCTCTGTATTGCAGACTCTTGGTGAGGCACAGGGAGCAAATATGGCTTTAGGGGTTGCAAGCAAACACTGGAAAAGTGTTGGAGAGGCTAATACTGAAAGAGCATCACCACTTAAGTCAAAGGGCAGACAGAACTAGACAAAGTTAAAAAGAAATTCACATTAAAAGAATCTGAGTTTCTCCACCTTCCCAAAGCAGCATTGCCTGCATGGTAAGAACAAAATGCTCCTCTCCTGCCTTTCAAATGAAAACGTTCCAGGAACTCAACCACTGAGTTCATCACTGGCTGCCCTGAGCAAAGCATGAGAACTTGTAGCATAAGGCTTCTATTGGTAACGCTGAAATAAGAACTGAGATGGGAGTGAGGGGAGGAGCCACCTAGGAAGCAAGATACCATCCCAAAGCAGAGTCCCAGCTGGGAAGTGTGCCCTTCCCAGACTGCTGCAGGGAGTAGAGGTTGGAGACAGTGCAGAACACCTGAGGCAGCAGCCCCTAACAAACACAGCAGATGCAACTTCATACCACTTGGTCCTCGAGGGCTTCAGTGCCCCAGATATTGGAGAAACTCTCCATAAGTCCATAGAAACTGGTTTCCTGGAAGTCTGTGTCACTAAGTGAACAAAAATACAGTGGAGGAAATAAAAAAAAAAAGCAGGTCACTTCTGCAGTCTCATGAAACACTCCATGGCTGAGGTCTTTGAGATCCCCTGGATGACAGCCACATGATCAGCTCTCCAAGCTCTGCAGCTCCTGCCAGTCTGCCTCACTCTCACACCTGACTCTTGATTTGAAAAACTCCTTGATGAGTCTCTGTGCTTCCTCCTTCACTGCAAAAGAGGAAGCACCACCTTTGAGTCCATACTTAAGACCTCTGCCCCCTCTAAAGACCATTTGGCACGGGAAGAACCTGATTCTTGGTGCTCTCCCCAGCTGCCAACTCACCTGTTTTGCGGACAGGGTTCTGCTCCTCAGTCAGCAAGTGAGACAGGTGCCGGGCAAAGCCCTTAAACAGGTCCTGCAGAATTGGGGAAGACAAAGAAGAGCAGAAAGCAAACATCAGTTACCTCACCAGACTGTTTCCATGTCTGCCTTGCCCTTAGCATGGGCTGGCTGTAGCACAAATCATTCACAGATTGAGACTGCAGAAGTGCTGCACACCTGTACACACACCTGACCCTGCAGTGCTGGAGAAGCACAGGCACACACATGTTGCCTTGCAGAACACATCAAGGAAACTATACCAGAACTGAACACCTGATCTGTTGCTAGTCCACAGGAGGGAGTTAAAAATGTGCCAGAGTTTAATGTGAAAACATGAACAATCACAACCAACATGATACCACTCGAAACACACTCAAACCCTTGTGTGGGAGAGGTGAGTTGCTGCCCCTGGAGTCACTAGAACAGCACCTACCAAGACATAACTTGGAAATGCAATGTGGTATACAGATCATCTTCCCCCTCTTAGAGCCCCAGAGCACTAGGGACATGCAGTTTCCTTCTGCTAAAGAGAGTCTGGAGCTGTGCCCTACCTTGGAAGCAAATTTGCCACCCTTGTAGAACGGGGTCAAATATTTGACAACGATGTCTGCAGTCTCTTTGAGGGACATGCCTTTGGTCACTGGCTGGATGGCCTTGCTGGTCCCTTCTTCATCACACTGTGCCAAGTTTGGATCAAAAGTCACCTTCTTCTTTGTTGGGCCAACACTTCTGCATTCTGGTTGAGTCAAAATGGAGGATTTTGCTGCTGTTCGTAGCCGCTTTGTTGCAGGACTTTCCATATCCTGTTGAGGGAACAGACGAAAACTAAATCCACCAATTCCTGTGGCAGCATTACACTTCCAGGCAGCCACTACTTTTCAAGAACATGAATCTTTACAGTGTCCTCCAGACTCTTCCTACAGTGAATGCCATGCAGGAATGTCAGGAACCAATTTTGCTGTGCAGGCATAATACTATTTTCCTTACTTTGAGAAAAACCCTTGAAGACAATTAGAATTACCCTGTGCTCTTATTAGGGCAGCTAACTGCTAGACCCCATCCTATACAGGAAAAACTAACTGCAAAATATTTCTTGGGATGTCTGTGAGAATACACCCCTCAGGAAGAATCACCCACAGCAGGAGTGCCACATTCCTGTTCTGTTTGCAAGAGGAAGAAGAGTGCACTGTTGCAGAGACAGCTGCCAGGCACTCTTAGATGCCAAATGCAGAAGCAGAGACTGAATGGCAAGGCAGGCTCTGAGCATGGGTAACTTCCAAATGGTCCTGTGTGTCATTGGCCTCTGGTTACTCCCTTGACTTGAGAAAGCAGCTTGCTAATTATAGTTAGTTACAGATCATGGGGGGGTGGAGAGACTCATTCCAGGCAAGTCACCAGCAAGGGCACAGTCACATGTGTTGCACAGAGGTGAAAACAAAGCAGTGGAGAGGAAGATTTTCCACTGCACTCTGAGGTGCTGGCACAGCCCAGAGGGCAGCAGGGAAACATCAGGAGTGCAGCACAATTGGGGTTCTCCTCTCTACTGCAACTGCATCTTATCTACAGACAAGTAACACTCTCAAGTAAACTTCAGAGCAGGAGCATCACACTCAGAGTAATCTGGCACAAGATGAGCAGAAAAAATAGAGGAAATCAACATCCATTGAAGTCTTACCTCATCTGATGCAGGTCGCTTCCCATTCTCACTCTCCCTAACAACAGGCAGCTCAGTTTCTGTGACATTTTCAGCAACACTAGTGAGAAGAGTGGAGAGAAGGACAAATTTAATCATCCCACAGTAAAGACATTACTGCATTCACTGTCAGTGGGCATGAGGCTCTCCATGGTAAAGCAAGAGTCTCCCTCACCCACCTGGAAAGCTAAACACATTCCCAGTTTCCAGGACAAGGCTGGTGGGGCTCTGCAGCTCATTAACAGGATGATACAGGGAGCAAAGTAGAGATTTTACCTTGACTTTACATCAATTTCTTCCTCAAGGACTTTATCTTCAGCAGCCTGCTGAGTCTTAAAATCCTCCTCTGCCTCAGTCAGTGTCACTTCTGTTTCTCTCAGTTCTTTATTCTCTGCCTGGGACTGTTCAGTCGCATCTCCAGAGATATCTTTGTTTCCCTGAGGTGTTGCTTTCTCTTGACACAGGCTTTGAGAAGAAACCTGAGGTAGTGTGCCTGCAGAACAGCCATCTTCCTTTGCTGAGCTGCAGCTTTTGGTTTTAGAGCCACCTTTGGAGAGGGAGAAGAATTTGGAAATATCCTGTGATTCTTTTTTAGCTGCTTCTGCAAGCATCTGCTGCTTCTTGCTACGTTTGGACTTCTTAGTAGGGCTCTCCCAAAGGGCAGCTTTTGTGTCCAGGCTGGGTTGTTGTCCCTTCTTTTCAGGGTGTACTTCTACCCCAGCACTCTCACACATTGCTTTGGTTGTCATTTCTTGCCTCTGGAGAACAGGGTTTCCAGTGTCCAGTTCCAGGCTGCAGCTGCTGTTGTCTTTCCCATTTGGACAATCTACTTCTTTTCTGTCAGGCTTTGTATCACTCTCCTCCTGGATCTTCAGCAGCTCTGAGGCTGTCTGGAACAGGTTGGATTTCTTTGGAAATCCTGCTCCCACACGCTTGGGCTTGAACTAGGGAGAAAGGAAAAAGAAGAGATTTTGGATGTGAGATCCCTGTGTGCAGAACCCTGAAAGGAGCTAAGTTTTTGCATACAATACACCGGTGTGGACAGCTGCAAGATGAGGGAGGCTCTAAATCTGACTTGTCACACTGAGACATGAGGGAACTGGATGAAGGCAAAGTCCTAGGCCCACAGTAAGCAAACAGAATCCTTGGCCAGAGCAAGATGAGACAAAACTTATTTAATCTATGGTCTGCACATAGATCATATTCACTAACAGGAACCAGCATGACAGATAGGCAGGGAAAAGGAATTACAATAGAAATATACAGCTATGGCCACAGAAAGGATGTAAAATAAGTTTATAAAAAAAGCAGATAGTCAGAACACACCATCCCCTCCTGTCTATCCCACTGGTACTCACTGAGTAAACCTGGGATGCAGGAAGGAACTCCTCTTCTGCTGGAGACTCACATTTTGTTTCCAAGCTGCTGTTGCCACAAGTTCCAGACCCAAAGACTGAGAACAACTCTCCTTGTTTGGAGGCTTTGTTGATTTCTGCTACCTGAAAAGAGAACACAAATATTCTCTAACAATCAGGAATCCTTATGCTTTTCTGCCTTTGTACATACTGAAACCACAGTGGCAAAACAAAGGTCTCCCCTGGAGAGGCACCTGGCTCAAGAACAGAAACATCTTCAGAGAGACTGGTGGCAATCAGGTAGCCTAAACCAAGGCTTCTCTAGTGTCAGCAGCAGCCTGAGGAACTCCCCATTCCCTCTATTGCTAGAAGATATCTAGATAAACTTGCATGGTATGTAGGTTTCCAGAGCCTGTAAAGCCAACAAAGGTGAAACCAAGGTGATTCTGGGCCCTCCTGGAAACAAAATCAAGAAGAAAGACTTGGAAGACATCCAAGGCAAAGCAGAGCTTTTCCTTAATCTTTTCCACACAAACTCTACCCTGGTTCCCTCGAGCTGAGGCCACACCACATTCAAGGAAGAGCAGATGTATGTCCCTACCTTCTTTAGCACAGTTGCCTTATATGAGTTTGCCATTTTGCTGCTCCGGAAAGCTTCATACTCCAGCTCCACGGCACAGGCATGAGGGTCTGACCTGTAACACAGGCTGGGGTGATTTCTGGCAAGACACACTTCTACATCTGTAAAGGGAACACTAATGCTTATGTATCTCCCAGAAAGCACAAAATTCATTCCCTCTGGTGCAAGAATAAGTGATAGCTTCCAGTTAATTCCTAAGGGATGCAGTGCTGGATTGCTGGAGAATGGAAAACGTGATGAAAACAGCTTTAAATCAAAATCATTCTGCCCAGCGGCTCAGTTTGAGAAGTACACTATCTCCATCTTGTGGGATAGGGAAGAATTGCGGCTCCTGGGATCAAGCTGATTCAGCAATCAGCCACAGCAATCTCATATCTGACCCTGGACACCACAACAAGAAGGATGCTGGAAAGTGAAACCACATCCTTGGACAATATAACTTCAAAAGGCATTCCCTGAGAATGGTAACGCTGCTCAGGTAAGACCAGGCCCTGTGTTAAGGGACTCAATATGTACCCCTTTTTCCTCATCTCATACCCTTTTCCTCCTGCTGCTGGACTCTTTTGATTGTTGCTCAAAGCTTCTTCCAGAATCTTCAAGCAGTGTTCCCGTCCCTAGGAAACATGGGATACTCAGACATGATCTATACAGAAGTCATAGTGCCCCTTGGACTTTCACCCCTGAAGGAGTAAGAACAGGGTAGGGAGAATTCAAAGAACAAGACTGAATGTCAACCAACACCTACCTTCACTGTAAGCTTAGAGATCCTCCTGCTGCCAGCATCCTTCAGAGGACAGTCTGCACCTACCATGGAAGAGGCATTTGGAAAAGGTATCAAAGCAGGGCTGGGGCTGACAGAGAACATCTCACCTGTCATGGGAAGGTGCCAGTCCAGTACTCTGGCATTCTCCTCCCTGCACTGTCACCCCAAGGGCCACCACAGTCACCCTTTTTACCTTTACACACTCCAAAAGAGAGGCAGAAGCCAAAGTGAAGTTTTTATTTTGATTGAGAAGATCTACTTTGCTAGTTTACGACTAACAGATTTCCAAAACCTTCCCAATTCAGCAAAGCCTTTCTCAAGGAATTCCAGCTATTAGGAAACTCAAATCTTTTCTGTTCCCTGCAATACCAACAAAAAAACCCAACCAAAAAGGTTGAACAGAGTAACCTGACCTACCAGGTATTCTTTTACAGCAGTGGGAGAACTGTGCTGCTAGACAGGGCCCCAAGCAGCACAGTCACAAACAGCAGAGGTTTTCAGCAGTTTCCTGATAGCCCAATTAAACACTGCTGCATAATCCCTGCAGAAATAGCCTACAAAGTCAGGTTAGACAGTTTTTCTTCTCTCTTTCTTACTTGGAACAGAAAGATGCATTCCATATCTTCACCCCAACCAAAGCTAAGCTGTGATCCATCTCCTCCAGCCAAGCTTTCACAGCCAAAAGCTTAACCTCTGTGCCTAGGGACTGATACCTCCAGTGGTGATGCTGTATAAATTACACACAGATGCAAAATACAAGACTTTCTTCTCCCAAAAAACCCCCACTATAAATCCAAGAAGATATTTACTTGGAGGAACAAAATCTTCCTTTTCTGGTTCTCTGCCCTGGAAGAAAACAAAGATCAGTCAAACATTTTCATTCTTGCAACACACATGCAGGTCTAGAAGCACAAAAGACATATTTTATACCTATGCTCCAGGGAAAATTGATGCTGAAGTTACAAAGGCACTGAACAGGCACCAAAATAGGGGAAAGAGGACAAAGAATGAGAACCAAAGCCAAAAGTTAACCTTTGCTAGAGGAATATGCAAGAGAAGCTGAACAGAGAAATCTGTTTTTACTACTCCCAGTGGTATTAAAGACAACAGGATCCTCTTGATTAGCACTGCAGGGAAGGCAGCACATGAATAAGCTGCATTTCTTCCTATTATGGCACTAGCCCAGAGTATGGAGGACACAGCAAAAGCAGAAGTAGAAAACAAAGACAACAAGATGCAACAATTTACTTTCATTAGGGCCAGGAAGCCTTTGTGGCTTAAGATAAGCTCCCGGCAAACAATCTGTGCATCTCTCACAAACTGATCCCCACTCACTTTGCGCAGACTCATCTGCTTTTTGTAGAAGTTGTCCCACTCCAGTTTCCGCCGCTCTTCACTGTCGTCATCCCAGTTCCCACTGCTTTCTTCATCATAGCTGGATAAGGCAGGAAAACAAGAGGAACAAATATTTCTGTAGCTGTAGCACTAATTGGGGGACAGGTTTGGAAAGCCTAGGTCACCCCAGTGATGTATCCCACACCGTCCCTGATCAAGTCTTAGGTTTGAGTCTCTCTGCCATCCCTCAACCAGGACAGCAGTGAGTGTCCTCCAACAATTCACATGGTTTGTTAATCCCATGAACTAGTAAGCAGTGGCATGAAGTAGTAGCACATAACTAATGCTCTGAGAATGGAGGCTCCATTTCAGAAGCTCTGCCAGATTCTCCCATGGGGTTGAGGAGTCACTGCCTTGTGTCGTTGTACCCCATCCACCAGTCACTGCTGCCCTGGGAGCAGAGATGGCAGAAAGAGCACAGCAACCATTCCCCAGCCTCAGTTGTTCACAGTCTGTTGTAGTAAATTAAATCTCCATCACTAATACACTGAAACGCAGCAGCTGATCCTCTCCAGATGTGGCCCAGGAGTTTACTGCCTCCCACAGCTGCCACAGCCAAAACTTACAGGTAACACAAATCAGAGCTTTAGAGTTGTTGACTATTACAACTTCCAAGGCAAAACTACAATCAAGCCATGGAGAGGTTCAATAAATCAAGTGGCAAACACTGTGCTGTACAATAGCATTGACTGTGGCTTTGCAAGTCCTGAGGCCAAACACAGGTTTAGGTCACAAAGTACCAGTTTCCTCTGACTCAGCTGCACTTGCCTGATGAACAAAGCTACCAGTTTGGAGCTGTTTAAGGTGAAGCAGAGGGCCAGGCCCAGCCAACAGCACTGAGCACCCTGGCAGAGCTTCATGAGCAGTGCCAGCAGTGAAACTTCATCCTGACAGCTGTGCAATCACTGCAACTCAGCCAGAGAACAAGGAGAAAGAGAAATTGTCACCTCGACACTGCCAAGCAGTTTACAGAACCAATCATGTTTCCCACTGCACATCTTCCTTTTGCCATCAGCCTGATAGGGAAACTAAAATTTAGCAATCTGCAGAAGAATCTGACACTGGCACTCCATTACAGCCTCTTGTGATGACTAAGCCCTGACAGTGGCCCTCAGTCTGTTGGCCCACAGACAGCTGTACTGAGTCAGGAATGAAGTCTGGACCATGTCACACTCGGCTGTCACCTTGGTCTCAATTTAAACATTTTTGATCCTTGTGACTGTGAACAGGCTGAGCCCACTTGCTGCTTTCAAAAAATTTCAGTCTGGTTTCTTGAGCCAATTACATTCTGCAGGGCAATTCTTAGGTCTATCAAAACAGCTTTTGGCTCTCTGGGACACGAATGTGAATGAAGCTGCCAAAGTGTGTGGAAAATGAAATTCCAGCTCCTGCTGCCAGAAGTTACAGGAAAATACCATCCACACAGAAATATGTACCGAAAATAGGAGTGGCTGGGCCTGCAGCTGGGAGATGCTCTTGTCTCTCAGAGCTCCTGTGAGCTGAGCATTCTCTCTCCAGTACAGACCTGCTAAAACCCCTGCAGCCTCTCCTCCCGCCTTCGTACAGCTCTGGGTCGTAGCTATCCCAGGAGGAAGCAGTGGGCCCAATGCAGGTTTTGCTCCAGCTGTTGCTGCAGCGCTCCAGTGACTCCAGTTGCCTTTTCACTGCCCCTGGGTTCTTGCAGAAGTCACAGCACTTGTTACAAGGAGGGGTGTCATCGCCGAAGTACTTCGCTATGGCAGCGTGGCGACACCTAGGAAACACAAGGGAACCTGATCCTTATTTTCATTGACAAGATCTCCACCCTCCAAATGCAGAGTGTCTTTTGAGAAAGACTTGAATCTTTG